CCTACTTACAAGTACCCATCAACCTCCAAGTACACCCAGTTGACTCAAAAGAACCCCAACCTGGAGGAGGCGTCAGAAGACCCTAAACCCTAAACCCTAAACCCTAAACCCTAAACCCTAAACCCTAAACCCTAAACCCTAAACCCTAAACCCTAAACCCTAAACCCTAAACCCTAAACCCTAAACCCTAAACCCTAAACCCTAAACCCTAAACCGAAACAGGCTCAAACCATCCCATTCCAGTGTTCATTGCTTTGGCTCAGAAAAAGACCCTCGTAGTCATCACAAAGTGGGGGGGGGCCTTTCGAATACAAGAAGAGACTCCCAAATAGTAGGATTCCCTTACAAACAAGGACACCCATAAGGTACCCCCTCATATCGTAAACCCCCTAAACCCTAAACCCTAAACCCTAAATCCAAAACCCTAAACCCTAAACCCTAAACCCCAAGTAGCAGCTAGGGAAAGCCGTTGAAACTACAAACCGTCCGTTGCAGCTCCAAAGAGCTTAGGGTTCCCCCTTGGGATGTTCCCCCTTATGCTAACGGAATATAATCGGGGGTTACTGTACTCCCGATTAGAGATCGTTAGTAGAAGGGAATATAATCGGAGGGGTTACTATACGCCCTATTAAGGACTGTTAGTATATTAGGGAGAACATCCCAAGTTCCGACCCCGAATGAAGATGATTCGGAGAACTCTGCCGAAGGCCAAAGGTTCAGGTCAGAATTAAACAAACTGCAACCGCCTAAAGCTCAAGACCTCATAAGCCCTAAATCCTACAAACCCTCAACCCTTAAACCCTACAGACCCTAAACCCTAAACCCTAAACCCTAAACCCTAAACCCTAAACCCTCCCAGGTCCACACTTGCCAGCCTTGGCGCTTCCCTGGATCATCACATCGAAGCTCCCCCGATTCGGCCTGGTAAAGGTTTTGGGTTAGTAGGGTTTAGGGTTTAGGGTTTAGGGTTTCGGGTTTCGGGTTTAGGGTTTAGGGTTTAGGGTTTAGGGTTAGCAGGGCTAGCAGGGTTAGCAGGGTTAGCAGGGCTAGCAGGGTTAGCAGGGTTTAGGGTTACTAGGCGTGCGTGGCTTGCGGGGCTGAGGGTTTGCGGTTTAGGGTAACCCTAAACCCTAAACCCTAAACCCTAAACCCTAAACCCTAAACCCTAAACCCTAAACCCTAAACCCTAAACCCTAAACCCTAAACCCTAAACCCTAAACCCTAAACCCTTAGTCAGGGTTTCGGGCTTCAAGGGCTTTGGAGCCTGGGTTTGAGATTGTGTATGCAGTTTAGAGGGCCGGCAGTCCTGATAAGAGCTGCAGGGCTGTGTTGAAGCTTTTTGGAAGATTCAAGTATTTTTGGCAAGATATGCTCTTTGTAAGATAAGCAATATAACCCCTCAACCCAAAACCAAAACCCCAAGTCCCTTGCTAGCCCTAAACCCTAAACCCTAAACCCTAAACCCTAAAACCCTAAAACCCTAAACCCTAAACCCTAAACCCTAAAACCCTAAAACCCTAAAACCCTAAAACCCTAAACCCGCCGTGCCTTAAGTTGCCCAGCTCGGGATGGAGGGCACCCTGTCGGGTCCTCTGAAACCATGCATCGGCCTCGTGAAAGAGAGAAAGCTTCAGACCGGGCTGGGTCGGGGGTCGCTAGGCTCAGGGTTTAGGGTTTAGGGTTTAGGGTTTGGGGTTTAGGGTTTAGGGTTTGGGGTTTACGGTTTAGGGTTTTGAGTTTAGGGTTTAGGGCTACTTGGAGGTTGGTTGGTAGGAGCACCCATGAACCTCCCAGTCGGGTCTACAAGCAACGTACAAGCGTTCCTGGTCCAATCTTTGGGGGGGAAATGGGAGGAGGGAGGGGTGCGAGACCCCAAACCCTAAACCCTAAACCCTACACCCTAAACCCTAAACCTCGCAGCAAGGGCTTTCGGGGTCTTTGGCCTGCGGGCTGTGGGCTGTCAGCGGACTACCCGGGCTCAAGGGCTCAGGGTTCAGGGGATATATGGTTTAGATCGTTATGGGAATCTTCAGGGAGGGGGGGTTCAAGGGGAGTATGGTACCCGAGGTTCCCTAATACACCCTACTACTCCCCAAGGTTCCCGAAGGTTCCCTAGGTGGCTACCTCCAGTGAACCCCCCCCCTTCCTTCAGACACCTATAGATATTTAATGGCTTGCAGGACACACAGGGCCACGGCATGTCCAAGCTTGATGGCATGACCTCTCGTGCTTCTATATTCCCCCTAGAACCTCAAAAAGCCCAACCCAAAACCCTAAACCCTAAACCTAAACACTAAACCCTAAACCACGTTGCCTTGGGTTTTCTATACATAGAAATGACAAAACCATTCCCAGGGGGGGGGGGGGGGGGGGGGATTTGGTTTTCTGCCCGCCACTAGCGGCTGCAAAGCTGTCAACAGACGGCTGTATCGTTGGTAGCTCGGGTGGGATCAAGTCTAAGACACCCCGAACATTTAACCTTCAACCTTAAACCCTAAAAGTTCAGGATTTAGGGCTTAGGGGTGTAAGACACTCCGAACATTTTTACCTTCAACCTTAAACCCCCTAAGGGTTAAGGGTTCAGGGTTTACGGCTCAGGGGTTAGCTTCGAACTTACCCTGTCCGCGGAGTCCGCAGGCTATGCCAAGGGGCCACACTTTGTGCTGCTGGGGCATCGGAAACATTGATCCCACCGTGGCACTACTCGGTCTGGTGACCAGCGCTACCCGGCCCTTGAAGGCTCCACCTTTCTTGGTATCTGCCGGCGGTGAAGGAAGCGGTATAGGCTTCGACGACGCAGTATGATGGAACTTTTAGGAGGCCTGAACAGCAACCTATGCCTTCCCTCTTTGGCCGACAATGAACTGCCAAGGCAGCAACGATGGGAACGCAGATCAGAGCGCATGGGAGCCCCATTTTTTAGTCAAACTAAGTTTCAGGCCGGGCTTCGAGGGCGCTTCATGTTGCCAAAATCAGGCCCATGTGCAGGATCGACGCGTTCCAAGCCTCCGCAACTTCTGTGCGCAACTCCGCTGCTGCGACGGCGAATAGTGGATTGCAATGGGGGTAGCTATATCCCGATCGCGCCTGACCGCGACAGATAGTGGACCATCAAAAGACGAGCAATTGCCAACAGTGCGATCATCCTGTCCATCATGAAGGCTGCATGTTTCGTATGGCCACCTCCTTGCCATGCAACATGGAACGTGAACAAATGCACACGTGCCACCGCGATGCTTGCGGTAAATTGCCGGCAGTCATGCTGACATGGCTGAGGATGGATCAAAACTGAACCCCAAGGTTCTCTCGACCACCAGTCGCCCAAACCAGGGACCTCATGTAGGGGTCGGAGCATTTCTAATCCTCTTCCCTCATGGCCCTTTTCTAACTATGCTATAAGTCCACCCCCAAAAAACCCCTATTCTTATTATGAAGGCCCCCTAAGTTACATGATGGGGTCCTCCGGTGGTCGAAAGCCCCTCTCACTCCAAGAATGCTCCGACAGAAAACGCCTCAACTCGCGCAGCTCTTGACGGAGATCTCGCGAGCGTCCCGGGGGGTGCTTAGGGCTCGGAAACACATGGATTCTGCAAGCTTCTTGCACGGCCCTCCACAGAACCTGGGATTTAGGGTTTAGGGTTTAGGGTTTAGGGTTTAGGGCTATTTTTTACAATCAAGGAGGAAGCTCTGTAGAGGGCTCGGGCCAGCCAGCAAAGAAAAGCTTGTTGACTCGAAACGGTCAGTTGCCCTGAGACCTGTCCGTGTCCTCTGACTCGGAAGATCATGGCTCCCTCTATGATTCTCTGACCATCGGAAGCTGGGGGGAGATTGCAAAACAAATGTCATGGCCTAGGTCAGGCTCGTAAATTCGTCGTGGCTTCGTTCCCGCCGGGCTTCTGAAACAAGGCACAGCTCTGTCCTGTGTAACTGCAATGTGCATGTAAAGATGCAAATTTGAATACACATTAGTATATAGATAAACATGCATACGTACATACATGTACATATGTATATATGTGTATTCATGCTAGCTGCTATGTACGTGTCTCCATTTGAGCGGCTGGGAAAAAGTGAAGCTGAGCACGCATCTAGGCTCTCTCCTGACTGTATGCTCGGGAGATGATTGGAATGATTCAGCTCGTGAGCGAATTCGTCCGCCTGTATTCAAGGACTGGGCACCCCAAAGCACATGGGACGGATGCCTGTCACTCATGCAAAGAGTCGGATAGAACCATTCAACGAACAAACCTCCCCTCCTCTTCGTCATGCTAGTTCACTGCAAACCCTAAACACTAAACCCCCAACCCTAAACCCTAAACCCTTTAAGAACAAAGCGGGAAGTTTCCTCGCCGACATCTGTGGGCTAAGATGCCTCAATGGCCCTACAAGAGAACTACGCCTGCGTCTGTGCCCCGCCTTAGGCAGCATGAAACCATGTCAGTGTCGCTTGTTCACCAGTAGAGCGACTAAGTAGACCATGACGTCCGAAATCCCTCTCAAGCTTTAGGGTTTAGGGTTTAGGGTTTAGGGTTTAGGGTTTAGCTCAAAAGTTGCGACTAAGTACACCCCCCGATGTCAAACCTAACCCCTAAACCCGAAACCCTCAAACCTTTCGATCCAGCATCCTAAGCCCAACCCTAAACCCGACCTCATTGCTGGGCCAGGCGGGGCTCATATAGTATATATAGTATGAGCGGAAGCGGTTAAACCTCGTATCATGGTAGCCTGTCAGCATATGGGCATTTCCCAAAATAGGGGCCCCCCGAACATAATGAGCCTAGAATGCTGTCACCCTTACTAGAGCAACCGCCCCAAAAAGGTACCCCTGTTCCAAACCCTCCTATGTTGCACTATGCTAATCCTTTGCTAGAGGACCCCCCCCCCCCCCCCCCCCCCCCCCCGCAAAAAAAAGAAAGAGAAAAGGTACCCCTGTTCAAAACCCTCCTATGTTGCACTATGGCTGTTGCCATGCAGGGTGCGTAGGGCCCAGAACGCAGCCACTAGTTTGAGAGGTCGAAGACCTCATGGCCACTGGAGTGCACGAACATCACATGCCGCAAGCCTGTCGCGATCAACACGGTAGCGACACCTACTCATGGGTACTTGAAGCTTCCTTGAAGAAAGGGTTTTGTAAGTGCCCCAAAGTAAGGGATAGAACCGCAGTTACTCTACTTGCAGCCTTACTTATGAGTGCCCATGGACCTCCAAGTAGTTTGTTCAACTTGACTTAATGCACACAGAAAGGGCCTTAGGGTTTAGAGTTTAGGGTTGAGGACTTCTGGTTTATGAAGCACCTGAACCCGCTCTTGGTTTGGAGCGGAGGCTGTGCAAGTGTTTACGGTAACGGCTGTAAGAGTCAAAGGTGCTAGAGGTAAGCCCTAAACCCTAAACCCCAAACCCTAAAACCTAAACCCTAAACCCTAAACCCTAAACCCTTACACGGTCGAAGCACACAAAGCGGGTTCTAAGGACTGTCGAGTCTGTCAGGGTTGCAAGATTTAAGATGGGTCTAGGATGGTTTAAGGTTTAGGGTATGGACAGAATGACAGCCACGAAGAGGCCAAGTGAGCACGACGATGTAGCGTTCAGAGAGGTTTAGGGTTTAGGGTTTAGGGTTTCGGGTTTAGGGTTTAGGGTTTAGGGTTTAGGGTTTAGGGTTTAACGCACACGACTCTGGCACTAAAGTGGACCAGTGCATGCAAGCACTCCCTTCGTGATCCTCGGAAGCTCGCAGCCTGTAGGCTCCCTTATACCTTCCGCACAGTAGCCCGAAACCCTGAACCCCTCCAAGCCCTGACAATCCCCTAAACCCTAAACCCTAAACCCCTAAACCTCTGAAATGCCCAAACCCCGAACAAGCCCTAAACATCCTCAGGTCCACCTTGAACTTTGGAACATTCAGTGTTCGAGCCCCTCAGAGTTAAGGGTTTAGGGTTTAGGGTTTAGGGTTTAGGGTTTAGGGTTCACGGTTTAGGGCTCAGAGATTAGGGTTGACGACGATCAACTCGGACGACTACTCAGACTACTCTCAGGTCCTGATTTCAGGCATCGTGGCGACCAACCCAAAGTCCCGAAAGCCTGCTAAACCCTAAGCCCTTAGCCCTAAACCCTAAGCCCTAAGCCCTAAACCCTAAACCCTAAACCCTAAACCCGAAACCCTAAACCCTAAACCCGAAACCCTGAACCCGAAACCCTACACCCGACACCCTACAGCCGACAGCCTAAGCCAACTAGCCCTGCTTACCCAAGCCGAAAACCCCATAACCCCCAAACCCTAAAGCTAAGACCCTAAACCTCGTACGAACCTCGCGGACCAAATGAACCCTAAATTGGGCTCATAAACCCCATACTACGACTATATTGCCTACTACTGTAAGTTTCAGAAAGTTGAAACATGGCTTAAGGATAATTGGAACTGGGATTCCAATTAGGAACCCTCTTGGGGTATGAGGATAATGATGTTCCAACTTTTGATGGTTTACCCTAAGGCATATGAACCATGAAACGCTTTAGGGTTCATTTGGTCCCTAGGGAACTCGCGGACCTGCAGTGAGCGTGTTGCAGTAGGTCATGAAGGCGCGCGCTTTGTGCGCCTCGGTGCCCCACGGGTCCGGCAGATTCCTGGGCTGGGTGCAGGGGCGAGGATTTAAAGTGGAAGGTTCGGGCTTAGGGTCTAGAGTTTAAAGGGTTCAGAAGTTTAGATTTTCGGGTTGAAAAGGGTTCAGGGTTGCTCAAGGGTGGGGGTGTTCTTTGGGGATTACACAGGCATAGTTGCAGGGATCCACACCATTCCTCACCCCAATGAAGCGCCAGCAAGGCGTTGGGGCTCCATAGGATCGCACTTTGAAGGTTCATTCAGAGTTAGGGTTTAGGGTTGAGGGTTGAGGGTTGAGGGTTTAGGGTTTCGGGTTTAGGGTGAGAAGGTTCATGGGTGCTTATAAGTGGATATGCGTGACCGAAACAAGGGGTATCGCACTGTGAGTTAGTGCGCAATAATCGCTTCGAAATTTTCCCGATAATCCAGCCCTAAATAATACAATCTGTTCATAAATTGCCTGTTTCTCTTCTGCAACGGCTTGTGAGGAACATAATTCCTCGAATCTGTACTGGACAACTCATGAATCATTTCATTCGATGGAATACATGAAGTACAAAAGAAGTATATCCATTTTCAAATATGGCACCTACGAGTACATACTAAGATTTACATACGTTTTTCACTTTTCTAATGTTTGATCTAAACTTGTCTATAACTTGTCCTGACCATGTTGAAATTCTTGCGTATGATCTTGATAATACAAAAAATTTGTTTATGTATATTCCATCCATTCCCCACCATTCCTACCATGACCCACCATTGCTCACCATTTTCGCCATCTACCCCCCATTTCACACCCTTCCTACCATTACCCACCATTTCACGCCATTCCCACCATTACCCATCATCGGCACTACTACTCAAACTGCCACCTTTACTACCCGCCGCTACCCATCGTTCCAGGTGTTGAATTGAGGGCTTTGGCATTGGCTTCTGGGTTTGGGCACACGTTCAGATGCTACGCGCGCTCATCGCCCAAATCCGGTTTTAGGGTTTTAGGGAAAATAGGGTTTTAGGATTTAGGATTTTAGGGTTAGGGTTGTAGGGTTTTAGGGATTTAGGCTTAGGATCATGTTGTCTGGTCCCTTTTGAAGTTTCCCCCCTCTGTGGCGGCGAGGTTCAGGACGACCAGATCTGCCTGGCTCGACCGCGAGAGCACCACCTGAGGAGGAGAGCCCAAAACCTAAACCCTAAACCCTAAACCCTAAACCCTTAAACCCTAAACCCTAAACCCTAAAGGTTTCTTTCACTCCCAGCTCCCGGAGCCACGGCTCCCTCAACTAAGCACGGTTCCCCCTAGCCAAGGAAAATTGAAATGGCAAAAGCACTGTAATCATGGGTTCCCCTAACCCCCTCTATAGGGTTTAGGGTTTAGGGTTTAGGGTTTAGGGTTTAGGGTTTAGGGTTTAGGGTTTAGGGTTTAGGGTTTAGGGTTTAGGGTTTAGGGGCTACTACTACCCCCCCCCCCCCCTATTAGGCTTGCTATAATTGTCCCTAGAAAGCCTTCATTCTGGCAGGAACCTAGGGGGGGGTAGTATATAGGGGGGGAACCCATGATGTAAAGACAAACCCCCCGAAATGGCATCAAAATATACCCCCTGCTACGAAACTCCAACCCTAAAACCCTAAATCCTAAACCCTAAACCCTAAACACTAAACCCTAAACCCTAAACCCTATAGACCCTGAATCGCTGAATCCGAAACCACAGACTCTGCACGCTAAACCCTATCAACCCTATAGCCTGAACCCTATTCATCTCCCACCCGAAGCTGTAAACCCTATTCGAGGCATGTTTTGCAGGGGCCCTTCCACCCTAAACCCGAAACCCTAAACCCTAAACCCTAAACCCCAAACCCTAAACCCTAAACCCTCCCCCACGCCTGGTTCAGCCGCGCGCACGACTCGAGGTTGGTGAACTCGGGGGCCGACGGGAGGAGGCGCGCGCCTTAGGAAGACGAAGAAGAAGGAGGGTTTAGGGTTTAGGGTTTAGGGTTTAGGGTTTAGGGTTTAGGGTTTAGGGTTTAGGGTTTAGGGTTTAGGGTTTAGGGTTTAGGGTTAGGGTTTAGGGTTTAGGGTTTAGGGTTTAGGGTTTAGGGTTTAGGGTTTAGGGTTTAGGGTTTGGGGCTCTCGTTTTTTGCTACAGGGCAACTGATGATGCACATCAAAACACCATGGCATGCCCGCTCGTAGAAGACCTAGGCGCCAGTTAACCCAAACCCTAGACCCTTTGCGGCTTAGCTTACAGGCTTAGGGTGAGGGTTTGAATAAGATGTTCATACGACGCGCTGTATTATACAGGTACCTAAACTAAAGGGCCCTTACTTCAGAGAATCCCCAATTTCCAGGTAGCACACTCCCCCAGGCGAACTCCTGCTTTGAAGAGTGCACAAAATTGGGGGCAACGGAGGCATGTGGGAGCATTTGTACAACAGCCAAAGCAGCTGCCTCATGTCTCCTAGCTTTAGACCCTCTCTATAGGGGGACCCTTGAGGATATTGACCCTCTCAATAAGTCCCTGTCTAAGAGCCAGAAGAGTGTTGAGAAGGGTTCCATTTTAAGGGTCCCCCGTAATCCTACCTAGGAAGCATGATGCCACAGGTTCGTTTAGGATTTTGGTTTAGGGCGCGCTGCAGGGCTCCGAAGTTTACGACTGTTTAGGGTCTAAGATTCGCTTCGGGGTTTAGGGTTTAGGGTTTAGGGTTTAGGGTTTAGGGTTTAGGGTTTAGGGTTTAGGGTTTAGGGTTTAGGGTTTAGGGTTTAGGGTTTAGCGGTTCAGCGCAGGGGGTCTGTAGCCTCTGCCACCTGGGACTCCGGCACACCGGCAAGGGCGGCTGGCTCACGCGCCGATTACGCATGACATGCGCCGTCTCCTGGTTTAGGGTTTAGGGTTTAGGGTTTAGGGTGTAGGGTTTAGGGTTTAGGGTTTAGGGTTTAGGGTTTAGGGTTTAGGGTTTAGGGTTTAGGGTTTAGGGTTTAGGGCCGCGGAAGCAGAAGCTTTCTGGATTTCGCTGAAACTTCATCCGCATCAGCCCTAAACACCCAAGTCTGTCCTTAAACCCAAGCTTCCAACCGACAGTAAGAGACAAAAGCAAAACAAAACACACACACACACACACAACACTCTTGAATCTTGAAAGCCTCAAGTCAGTCCATCTACACAAGTGGAAGAATACAGTTGGGAAGGTCTTGGGAGTAGGGTGCAGCTTGCTCAGTGTTGAGTATCACTAACTAGGGGTTTGTTAGGGTTTAGGGTTTGGGGGTCTAAGAAACTCTTAGGAAAATTGGAGCCATCCACAAGGCACTTAAAGGAGCCTCCTGCTATAGTAAACTGTCGACGCGCAACAGTTTCCTGGGCGCCCCATTTCCCCAGGCCTTAAGACCTCAAGTACCCCCAACAGCCTCAGCATCCTACACTGGGTCTAGAAGAAAACTAACTACAAGGCATGCGCTGTTTTGGGGCTCTTAAGGTAAAACCCCTACGCCCACGTTTAAGGGGTTTTGGGTTTGGGGTTGAGGACCCCCCTAAACCCTAACCCCAAACCCCAAACCGTAACCTGGGACCTCACAGCCCCAGGAGAAACGCAAGGCCTTGGCGGAACGCTCCGTGCGGCAGTCGCTGACCACCACATTGCCAGGCTGGCTATCCTCCGATTCCACGCATCCACCTTTGATGCTCTAGGGGTTGGGATGTTCTAAACTCTAGACCCTGAACCCTAAACCCGAGAGCCTAGACCCCAGACCCTAGACCCTAAACCCTAAACCCTAAACCATACCCAGAGTCCTTAAAGGGGTATTATATAAGGGGTACTATATCCCCATTCAGGGCTGCTAGTATAAGGGGGAAATCCCGACTCTAGGGTTTGTATCCTTCGGCCCTGAAGGGTCTTTTTGGGAACCTATGTTGAAACTCCTTAAGGCAGTTTTAGGGCCATATTAGGAGTACGTTATATCAGGGGAACCTTTAGGAGTACAAGCTCAGGAGTACGAGTCTTAATCCCTTGAGATGCGCACACCCTGAAGCCCTACTCCCTACACCCTCTCCCCTCATTCTTAAACCCTAAACCCTGTATCTTAAGCCCTATAGACAATTCCTAAACCGCCTAAACCCTAAACCGCAAGCATATCTTCAGGCTCTGACGCGGAAGTGCACAGCTATAATTTCATCTCCTTTAAATGGACTACCAAAACCTTCTGCCCTAAAACCTCTATGCCCCAAGCCCCTAAACTCTCATGCACGATCCCCCAAAACTCTCAACCACACTCTGACAAAAAACACTCCTAGATACGACTCTCCAAAACCCAAGAATGAAGGGATAATGTCAAATATCCGAAGGGGGCCTACCCAGAGGTTTAGGGTTCAGGGCTACAGATAGGTTTAGGCTTTGCAATCGAATAAGAAGCCCTGCCCTAAACCCTAAACCCTACACCCTACACCCTAAACCCTAAACCCCAATACACATCAAAGTTGGGAGGGAGATGCTGTACAACTTCGGCTGATGGTCCCGGGGTTTCTCTTAAGGTCTCCATGCGGGAAGTACGGTTTAGGGGTTTAGGGCTTGGGGTTTGGGGTTTAGGGTTTAGAGTTTAGAGTTTAGGGTTTAGGGTTTAGGCCGAGGAGCTGTCGAAGCTCCTTGCAGATGTGCTGGAGCGGCAAGGGGGGTCCGCCTCAACACCTGGCAAGTCGCCTAGACTACGTTTAGGGTTTAGGGTTTAGGGTTTAGGGCTTGGGGCTTCGGGCTTAGGGTTTAGGGTTTAGGGTTTAGTGCTTAGGGTTTAGGGTTTGGGGTTTAAGGTTTAGGGTTTAGGGCTAGGTCAGGGCTGGGTCAGGGCCCCATTGCAGATGCCTAGGATCGCACGGTTTTTAGGCTTTGGGGCTTAACTTCAGGGTGCCCCGCCCCCCAAAAGGAACCCCAAACCCTGAGCTTGGTGCTCTCCTGGGTTAAACTAAGGTACTCACAAGCTTATGGAGCCCCATAGAAACCCTAAACCCCCAAGTGAATTTAAGGACCCTAACCCTTAGCCCTTCATCCTAATCCATGGTAAGACAACTCCATTATTTCCTAGCAAGTGGACAACTCAAAAAGAAGCACATTTCGCGGTCCTTTTCATAGGGGCGCCGTGCTCTACATATGGGGTTCCCTACACCTAAACTTTAAACCCTAAACCCTCAAAAGGGATGCAAATGCAAACTTTGAGAACCCAGTGTCAGACTCCGAAGGGTGTAGGGTTTAGGGTTTAGGGCTTTGAGACTTCGGGCTTTGGGATTCCGGGGCTTCTACGAAATCATTTATCTAGGGAAGTTGCATGGTCCCCTCGTATGAGCCCGTAAATGGGGACCCCCTTATTCCCTGCACAACCTCAAGGGGCCCTACCTTCAGGATCCTTTAAAGAAGGTAAGAATGTCTTTTTTTCGGGTTCAGGGGTGTTAGGGGGCTTTGGGGATTTACGGTCTTCGCCCAGGGGCCCCAAATTACTTCAGAACCCTTTGAAGGTAAGAATAATTAGGGGCTCAGGGGTTTAAGGGGGTTTTAGGGTTTTTGGCTCTTCGGGGTTTAGAGGGGTCTGCCTCAACAACACTAAACCCTAAACCCTAAACCCAAAACCCAAAACCCAAAACCCAAAACCCAAAACCCTAAACCCTAAACCCTAAACCCTAAACCCTAAACCCTAAACCCTAAACCCTAACCCTAAACCCTAACCCTAACCCCTAAACCCTAAACCCTAAACCCTAAACCCTAAGCCCTAAACCCTAAACCCTAAACCCTAACCCCCAGGGGTGCTGCTGGGAGGCAGGAGCGCCCCTCGTCCACGACGAAGAGGTCGTCGATCTCCAGCGGGATCGATTCTGCCTTGATGGCCACAAAGCGGTTTAGGGTTTATAGGGTTTTGGGTTTAGGGTTTAGGGTTTGGGGTTTGGGGGGTTTAGGGTTTAGGGTTTAGGGTTTAGGGTTTAGGGTTTAGGAGTTAGGAGTTAGGAGTTAGGAGCTCCTCGAACTAGCCGGGGGGGTATTTCTGGTAAATTAAACTGAGAGAAACTTAGGGTTTAGGGTTGAGTGCATTTTGGGTATTTGGTGTAGGGTGTCTAGGGCTTCGCGTATTCTAGGGTATGTGCGGTAAATCTGGGGGCTTTACTACGTCCCTAGGCACCGCACTGGGCTTCGAGTTGAGGCAGCTGCTCCCTGGTTAAGCCCTCAAACCAGGGTTTAGGGTTTAGGGTTTAGGGTTTAGGGTTTAGGGTTTAGAGGGACTCCACACCTAGCCTTAAGTGGGCATATGAGACTCGGCCCTCCCCTGGGCATGCTCAAGCGGCCCTCCCAAGACTGCTCTCAACCTCGGCTCGTTCACCGCCCCCCCCCCCCCCCCCAAAGCCGCCAACACCCTAGGCTAATGAAAGCAGAATGATATAGTAATATGCTACTATGATAAGCAGATTAATAATCATAGCAATAACAAATGACAGTAGTGTTATCTAGAAATCTCTAGCAACATGAAAACCTATTTATATAATAGAGCACCTCAACAAGACCATCCTAAGTCCCAAGGCCATTTAACCCCCTGACGCGTTGCAACCCGAAAAACCTAAACCTTAGACCCTGAACCGTAAACTGATAGAAAAAGAGTTTAGAGTTTAGGGTTTTAGGGTTGAGGGTTCAGGGTTAGGGTTTAGGGGCCGCCGGGGGACTGCAGCTGGCGCCACGCGCAGCGAAGAGAGGAACTGATGGCGTCCCTTGCCGCCAGCGTCGGGTTGAGGATGTGAGGACTTAGGGTTTTAGGAAGTCGGGCTCAAGGTTGAAAGCAATGGGCTTTAGGGCGGAAGAATCGTAATGATGAAGGGTCCGTCCTTGAAGGATTCAGGATTGCTTGAGGTTTGGGGATTCAGTTCTGGCTGCGCCTGCTCTGGGGGTCTACGTGCAGGACTACACCTCTTGAACCCCTGCACCTTGACCCAGGATTTCAGCAGAGTTCCCACTCTGGGCTACAGGGCGACTTGAATCCAGAGCAGCAAGGGGGGAGGGGGGGGGGTTTGAGCACTTCGATTTTGAGGTTGATAACCCTAAACCCTAAACCCTAAACCCTAAACCCTAAACCCTAAACCCTAACCCCTAACCCCTAAACCCTAAACCTAAGCGCCTCAGGAGCTGCGTCCCGAACATGGCCCCTGAACTCAGACCAACATGGGCTATTAGGCCTCCTAATCCCCTAACCAACCCTATAAAGGGCCTTCTTAAGGGGTTATAGGGTATAATAGCCCATGTAGGGAAATGCCGAAGAAACCGTAAAAGGCTCCGTAGAAGCAGCTTCGTCCCTGAAAGCGGAAAATCCGAAAACACTTCCGCCCTAAAACTAAAACCTAGTTTCCCAAAACCCTAACAGATTAACCCCTAAACCCTGACAACCTGAAACTCTACAACCCTAACCTCTAAACCCTTAAAACTTAACACACCAAACACTGAGCCCCTGCGACCCCACAGTTCTGTCTTCTGAGCCCGAACACCCGGAGCAGGTTACGGGGGCCGGCCTCAACGCGCCACGTCCAGTCGTACGTGTAGGGCCTTTTCAGGTGGTAAACTTATAGTTCAGGGTTTAGGGGTTTGTAGGCTTTAGCGTGTTGGGTTGAAGGATTTCAGTTTCAGGGTTGGGCTTCTCTATACATTGATACAAATTGGGTTTGGGGTGGGCTGGAGGAGAAGAACCAATGTCTACGCACCTGCAAACAGTGAAAGGTAGCAGGTGGAGGGGCCGAAAGCCAAACCCCGCGCTTTAGCCTTCGAACCGAAATACGTTCTCCATTGAGGCACCAAAACCCTAACCCTAAACCCTAAACATCCCTAAACATCCCTAAACCCTAAAGGGCCTAAAGCCTAAACCCAACATGGAGCTCAAGCTCCACTTCCTGGCTGCGCATTATGGTCGCAAGGCATGAGAGTTCCTCAAGGCCTTCATAAAAGCACCGCGACTTCCACACACTCTTTTCAAACCTTACACGCCACAGACGATGAACTCTAGGGACCAGACCCCCAAACCGCAAAGGCCCGAAACCTGTACTGCCGGCGAAATGATGTATGTTAGAGTCCCAAACTTTCGGGGTTTTAAGGGCCAACTTGGAGTTTTCAGGTTTGTAGTGGTTAGGTTTGCATTTCGTACGCAACGTGGGATTCCATCAACACAGGCTACCCCAAACTTTGACACCACAGCAAATCTATCCACGTGCCCCGACTTCCCCAACACCAAACTAGACCATATGTGCTGGAAACCTGTTCTTTCAAAAGGGTTGAACTGGCCTTGGCCCTGAGGCAATAGGGCTGGGAGGTTTTCGGCCAACGTCAACCTGAATCGCCCGAATCTATCCCCTAAAAATGCGTAACTAAACGTGATTGCAAAACAAGCCCCAAAAATTAAACGACCCTGAGCCCCAAACTCCCTAAGGCCTAAACCCGGAACCCTAAACCCCAAAAACCCCAAAAAACTTCAAGCAACCCCACCCAAGGACCAAGCTGAATCATCGCATCATCCGCCAGGATCACCTCAACCTCGACGTCAAACAGGCGCCGTTCCCGCAGCGTCCTGTCTACCGCAGATTCAATTAATATTTTTGTTAGGGTTTCGGCTTTTGGGCCCAAGGTTTGGGATTCGGGGCGTCGGACAGAGTGCCTGGGGTTAACCTTTCAAGTGAGAGGGCGAGGCTTTGCAACAACGACTATAACGACTGATGTTATGAAACTCTCCACGATGGTAGTTGAGCTTCAGGTCTTGGAGTCCGGGCCTCTGGGGAGCTTCCTGGGGCTTGTGCAGGGCTTAGGGTTTATTAGCTTCCAGCTTCTTCCTGAGATTCCTGTGTAAGGTTTAGGGTTTGGGGCGGCCTTCCGTAGTGGGGGCTGTCAAGTTGAACAGGCGTGGCGCCACGCACTGCGTTGCACCGACGATCTCCAGTCGACCTGCCACCAGCTTGAGACCAACCGCACCCTGAAACCGGGCCACAAGCTTTGGTTGCAATCTACCGGCCAAGACATTCCTGGACGAGCCGCGGGCTCCAGAACCAGGACAGCGGGAGCAAAGGCGACCGCGACATGTCGGCCGACCCAAGCCAGGTACACACCTAGCACGCACGGCTCACCAAAAACTTTTGGTACTTGGCCTGCGCGACAAAATGGAGCGCCTTCTCGCCACAGCACGTGACGTAGCGGCCTCCCCTCCTCCGAGTCCGTCGCCCGAAGCCACTCCAGAACCTTCTCCAGAGGGCACATCCGCACACTCCGCGCGTGTGGGAATCATTCGGCCGACCACCCCGAAGTCCTGCATGTGCTCTGCACTCTCAAACTGGACGACTCCTCCGCACGCACCGCTCCGACACATGGTCAGAACGCAGAACTTCAGATCGCGCAGAACATGTGGAATGATCTCCAAGCTTGCTGAAGACAGTGGTCGGCACCACAACCATAAATGGGAAAGCGCTCCCGCTGCTGACAACTGAACGAGAAGGACTGGGGCTTGATTGACGCAGGCCAACATCAATGTCAATGAAGAACAGTGATGCAGCGGGAGCGGATGGATGCCACTGAGTGCTCGCTACAGCTGGGCTGGGGGAAAGGGGCTGCATTGCCCGTGCTTCGCGAACTTGCGTTATTCCTGCTGGGCCGACGCCAGGCACGATTGCCACATCATCTTGCAAAACTCCTGCAGGTTGCTGAAGTCCGACGGCGCGCCAAAGGCGATCCTCAGCTCGGGCACATCGTCCCGACCAAAGGACTGCGGATTCACCTGCCGCCCCAGAAACGGGCCGTTCAGGAACACGAGGAAAGTGTTCACGCGCTGGGCCGGGCCCAACACGTAGGAGGGAAACGTGGACACCACGCGTGGAGTCGGGAGTCGGCCACTGCGGCAGTCTCGCCACCGCCTCCGGGGGCAAGGAGCTCTTCGGCTTCTAAGAAGCTACAACTGGAAGCAAAATACACTTGACCGCTCCGAGAAGGCTGCTGCACCCATCAGACATTGTCGCGAAGGCGTGTTGCCGTTGAACTCAGAACCCTTCCCTGGCAAAAGCAGCGGTTCTAACAGTGTTTGGAAAATGGGTCTGCGTTCATCCTGAGGCCGGCGAAAATTTGAGCAGCTGAGTCTTTTAAGAACGAACGAAGTTTTAAGAAAACCGAAGAAGTCCTTTATTCAAAAATCTTCAAAAACCTTGTTTCCTCACGCGCGAGAGATTTTAATAAAAAACCCATTCTTAAAACTTCGCGAGTTCGCGAAAATTTAGCTGGCAATTCCAGGCCACACAGAACTCCTCGAGAACCCTTTGTAAACTCTAGGGGTGGGGGGTGGGGGTTGAGAGTTGGCCGGTGTTCTTTTGTCCCCTGCCAAGAATCCCCACGTGCTCGGGTCAGCTTCTTCTTGAACAAGATCGCAGAGTCCATGCCTTCTAAGCTGTCATCGGTTTTTTTTCGGAGTTCGGCCTCCTGTCCAGCGGTTAAAATTACAACGACAATGTCAACACTGCAAAAGTTAAGCTCAAGGCCTTTGAATATAGGCTTCAGCGACAGCGAAAGTTTGAGAGGGACTGGATGTCCATTTCTAGAACTACTTACAAAGTCACTGGCTTGAACACGCTTTTCCAAGTTCTGCTCCGCGTCCTCAGTTTTGACTCAATCAAGCGCCCCTCACTCGAAAAAACATAAAACTGGGCTGCGTTTACAGCCATGCTGGGCTGTTTGAGCACTTACTGTTGATACGACCTGGGGGGGCCGGTTGAGCAGCACCCGCCTGAGCGTATGGGCTGCCAGCACAGACTTACGCAGGAGCGCGCCGCCCATCATTGCACAGATCGGGCGGCGGAAGCGAGGACGCCCATCATGGCTGGCAGGCTACAAAATCTTGGAGCAGAAGAAAAACTCACTTGCGGAGCGCTTCCGTCGTCACTCGGCTGCGGTCAGCCCCGCTTCTTCCAGGGTAGGGCTGAGGGTGTAGGGTGTAGGGTGTAGGGTGTAGGGTGTAGGGTGTAGGGTGTAGGGTGTAGGGTGTAGGGTGTAGGGTTTAAGGTGTAGGGTTTAGGGTTTAGGGTTTAAGGTTTAGGGTTTGGGGTGTAATGGATGTACAGAGTTTCTACGGAATCTCGATGAGCGTGGGGGGGGGGGTCATCGAGGTTTGTGGGAGCAGGACGCTGCACAAAACGGCCACAATAGAAGAGCAGATTGTGAAAAGCGGTCCTAGGTTTGATAGTCCTCATATTTCTGGGCTTAGTAGGGTTTAGGGTTTAGGGTTTGGGGTTTGGGGTTTGGGGTTTGGAGTTTAGGGTTTAGGGTCCGCCGACCCTGGCGGCGTGTTGGATGGGAAAAGGTGAAAACGCGGGGGGGTGGGGGTAGGGGGGGGTACCCGGGCAGCTTTTCCATGGAGGGCCAGGCCACCCACACCGCATAAACTCACGGACCATAGGCGGTTTCGCACAGGACATAGGGGCCCTTTGGGAAAAAACCCACCCAGCAAAAAACCCACCCTTTCCCTGCCCCCCCCACCCCCCCACCCCCCCCCCCCCCCCCACCACCCCCCCCCCCCCCCACCCCCCCTGCCCCCCCCCTTCCTGGTGCTCCCCCCCCCCCAAACGTTCACAGAGGCTCAAGCAAATCAACTTTTGGGTCCTTTGAGCTGACGAGCGCGTTTAAACCTATGCTCCAGCGGGGTCGGCGGCTTGAGCCGGAGGCTCTTAAATTTACGGTCCTGATATTTCAGATGCCCCGCTTAGGGTTTTTGAGGACTTTGATGGGGTGGATTCGGGCCCTTTACAAGTTTATAAACGTGAATTCTCTTTCGGTTTTTCAAGGGTTGTGTAGGGATTCGAGGCCTACCCAATAAACCCTGAAACCTATGGGCCCCCTGACATGCCTGAACCTGACATGGGGGGGGGTTGAGCTCGTTCGGAAAATGCCCCACAGATCAAAGGCCTCAATCCTTAAACCCGCAAAACCCTAAACTCTAAACCCTAAACCTTCAAGACAAATAAAAAAGAAAATTGTATGTGGTATCATTCTGAATCTGCCAAGCTATTTGTCTAAACAGCTGACAAGCCGAGTTTAAGTAGATCAATCCAAAACACCTCTGGGAGGCCAAATGCTCAATTTACTTTAAACCTCTCAAACCTTCCCCCCTCCCGCCCAGCTCCCTCTCCCCTCCCCCCCCCTCCCTGCCGCCCCTCCCACCCGGCCCCCCCCTTCTGTCCAGTTCTCCCCCCCACCCCCGCCCCCCCCCCCAACAAAAGTAGTCATGGGTTCTAAACGAAACTGTCGCTCGAAACTTTCGCTCAAAACGTTCGTCGGACCCAAACGAACCCTCTCATGTCCCCAAAGCCCTAAACCCTAAACCCTAAACCCCAAACCCTGCGTCCTGGAGAGGAACTCTCCGGCCGCCTTGGCCTTCTCCTGCAGAGGGCCAAGTCAAGGGCCGGGGGGCTCTTTCAGGGGTCGGAGTTTGGGCTTTAGGGTAGGTTTAGGGTTTAGCGTTTAGGGTTTGGGGTTTGGGGTGTAGGGTTTAGGGTTTATAGGGTTTAGGGTTAAGGGTTTAGGGTGGGTATAGGGTTTAGGCTTAGGGTTTAGGGTTTGGGGTTTAGGGTTTACGGTTTAGGGTCTGGGGGCCTGGGGGTTTAGGGGCTTGGGGGTTTCGGGTCTGGGGGCCTGGGGGTTTAGGGTTTGGGATTTACATGTAGGGCTGCAGCGACTTTGTCCTCTCAAGTGCGAAACCACAGCATCCTGCTGACGTGACAAGCCCTGCTGAAAAATCTAAGCGCTGCATTGCAGATGCTGGGTATTTTCCCCAGTAGGGGCCCTGAATATACCCCAAAATAGCATCATCCTTGTTATGGGAACCCCCTCTATTTTCGAAACCCCCATTTTGGGGTAGCTACAGGTCAACCTAAACCCTGAACCGTAAACCCTAAAGTGCTAAACCCTACAGCGCTTCAGGTCCGGCCTCCGACACATCCTCCGCCAACGTGAAAACACGGATTTGGCTTTGTCTCCAGTTCCGATGCCTTAGAGAAAGGTTTAGGGTTTAGGGTTTAGGGATTTGGGGTTTAGGGTTTAGGGTTTAGGGGGGTTTAGGGTTTAGGGTCTAGGGTTTAGGGTTAGGGTTTAGGGCTAGGGTGTAGGGTTTAGGGGTTTAGGGTTCCGAGCCCGGAGCCCTAAACCCATTAACTCGCTCCAGAACTTGCCACAAGGTAGCAAACAACACACCAGGATCCTAAACCCTAAACCCTAAACCCTAAAGCCTGCAAGTTGCTGGCTTTGTAAGTGCGACTTGCTTCCCCAGCAAGATAGCAAAAAGGAGGGGGGTGGGGGGATCAAAATGATGAGCCCTTTTGGGGTCGAGGGTCTGCGTTGCTTCCAGAGCACCAGAAAAGGGTTTAGGGTTTAGGGTTTAGGGTTTAGGGTTTGGGGTTTAGGGTTTAGGGCTTAGGGTTTAGGGTTAAGGGTTTAGGGTTTGTTTATAGCGGCAACAGCTAGTGAAGAGAACAGAGCCTGCAACCGAGGTGCTGTGTCAGAAGCCAGGAAAGAAGGATGAGGAAACCGCCATCGTGGATCATCCACCAGACATCGATGGTGCTTCGAGGGCCTGCAGGATCACTAACCCTAACCCTAACCCTAAACCCTAAACCCTAAACCCTAAACCCTAAACCCTAAACCCTAAACCTTTCAAAGCAGAAGGTCCTGCCTTTCACCTCCTCCAGGGGCATGTCCTTCAAGCCCTTGACGGCAATGACGGCCTGACATGACAGGCTTCCTAAGTATGCGGAACAGAAGCACCCTAAACCCTAAACCCCAACCCCTAAACCCCAAATTTCATTCGTACTTAGGAGAATCGTTGCCCAAACTTGGAGCTAGGGTTTCGGGATGCTTCATCTACAGTGACCGGCGCCCGCCCTGCGCAACGGTCTTAGGGCTTAGGGCTCAGGGCTTAGGGTTGAGTTTCATTTTTCTGGAAGGGTTTAGGATGGTGTAGGGTTTAGGGTTTAGGGTTTAGGGTTTAGGGTTTAGGGTTTAGGGTTTAGGGTTTAGGGTTTAGGGTTTAGGGTTTAGGGTTTAGGGTTTGGGGCTCCCCACATCCGAACACGCTTCGGCACCTTGTCCGCAGAGTACGCGTTGCTGAGGATCTTTACCTTGGGCGTCGCATGGGTGCAGGGGTTTCGGGTTTAGGGTTTAGGGCTTAGGGCTTAGGGTTTAGGGTTTAAGGCAAAATCTCTACTGGAAAGCTCCGCTCAACCATCCCACTTACACGATCACACTTATAGCTCCACGTGGATGTTGCCAAGGGGCCAGCCTGTACCCACTTCCTTGGGATGTTCCCTCATATTCTAACAGTCCTTCATTGGGTTTAGGGTTTAGGGTTTAGTTTTTAGGGTTTAGGGTTTATGTTTTAGGGTTTAGGATCCCCTAATATAATCACCATAAACGGACTGTTAGTATAAGGGGGAACATCCCAACTACTTCCCCCTCGACATCCCCTAGCAAGCAAACCCTACACAAGCTTCGAACACCCGAATGGCTCTCAAACGCATCCATGACCAAAGTTCGGGTGGGGGGGGGGGGGGGCTTCGAACCATATCGAAAAACGCGGTTTCTCATATGTTTTGGGTTTCAGATACAACCAAACTCCCCTTTAGAACCATGTTTGAACATTGGAGAGAAAACCGAAACCCTAAACCCTCAAACCCTGAACTCCTAAACCCTGAAACCCCAACCCACAAGTCGTAGAGCTTTGAGACGGGCGGTGGAGGGTGCCTTCTGCAAGAATACCCTAAACCCTATAAACCACAACCCTCAAATACCCTAAACCCTATAGACCCTGAACAATGAACCCTAAACCTAAAACCCTGAACCCTAAACCCTGAACCCCATAAACCCTATACCCTATAAACCCTAAACCCCTAACCCAAACCCTAAACCCCAAATCCTGAACCCCATAAAACCTAAACCCTAAACCCCAAAAAGCCTCAACCCTAAACCCGAAACCCTATAAACCCTGAACTCCCCAAACCCTAAACCCTAAACCCTAAACCCTGAACCCTAAACCCTGAACCCTAAACCCTGAACCCCCCAAGCCAAGCCTCTGATTTTGGAGGTTGCGGGCCAAGAAGCGAAGTCTTGGCTCGTCGAGTCGTCCCGGTCCTGGAGGAACAGGGTGATATGCAGGTGTAGGGTTTAGGGTTTAGGGTTTAGGGTCAGGGTTTAGGGTTTAGGGTTTAGGGTTTAGGGTTTAGGGTTTAGGGTTTAGGGTTTAGGGTTTAGGGTTTAGGGTTTAGGGTTTAGGGTTTAGGGTTTAGGGTTTAGGGTTTAGGGAGTTTAGGGTTTAGGGAGTTCAGGGTTTAGAGTTGAGGCCTTTGGGTTTTTGGGGTTCAGGGTTTAGAGTTTAGGCCATGAGGGCTTCTGGGTTCTAAGGGTTTAGGCCTTCTTGGTTGGGGGGTTTGCAGCTTCAGGGTTTGGGCTTTTGCGGGTTCAAGGTTTAGGGGTGTGGGGAAGAAGGAGCCCAACGGTGCTTTATGACCATTTGCTAAACCCTTAACCGTAAACCCTAAATCCTAAACCCTAAACCCCTAAACCCTAAACCCTAAACCCTAAACCCCAAACCCCAAACCCTAAACCCTAACTTGCTAAACCCTAAACCCCTAACCCCTAAACCCTAAACCCCTAAACCCTAAACCCCTAAACCCTAGACCCCAGACCCGAAACCCTAAATCCTAAACCCTGAACCCCTAAACCCTAAACCCCAAACCCTAAACCCTAAACCCTAAACCCTAAACCCCAAACCCTAAACCCCTAAACCCCTACCCTAATCTGCTTCGCGGCCACCGGTCCTCCGGCCAGTCGAGCATCACCGTGTTCGGCACGAGCCCGCCGATGCCCGTGAGCTGGATGATGTAGTGCGCACCTTCTGAAGGGAGGGATAATGTGGGAGGGGCCCCCCTGAGCCCTGATAGGCCCAGACCCCAAGTAAAAGCCCCAAAACCCTAAGTCCTACATCCTGAACCCTCAAAGATGACATCCCTGTTGGGTTGCTAGGCTTCAGGGTTTAAGGTTTAGGGCCTAGGGTTTAGGGTTTAGGGCTACATGGCGTATGAGACGTATTTAAGTGAGAACGGCCGCCCTGCTGGAGGTGTGAAGCCCCACCAAGGCCTGGGGGCCTAGGGGTATGAGGTGCGTGGTAACTTTTCGGGTTTAGGGTTTAGGGTTTAGGGTTTCGGGTTTAGGGTTTGGGTTTATAGGGTTCAGGGTGCCCAAGTGCCGCGGCCCTGAGCTACAGGGATGTGGCGGCCTCCCCACATCATCGCTGGCAAAAACAAAACATCAGCTTTTGCAGGTGGGAGAAGCTGGCTAGCCCTAAACCCTATATAAACCCTACACCCTAAACCTTAAACCCTAAACCCTAAATCCTAAACCCTAAACCCGAAACCCTACACCCCACAGCGAGAGGGCGCCTTCGGCCATGTTCGGGGCAACCACGACTTCGGCAAAGCCTTCGATGCCCTGCCAGAGAGTTTCGCTTTCGCGGAGGCCGGAGTCGCGCGTTTAGGGTTTAGGGTCTAGGGTTTAGGGTTTGGGGTTTGGGGTTTGGGGTTTAGGGTTTAGGGTTTAGGGTTTAGGGTTTAGGGTTTAGGGTTTAGGGTTTAGGGTTTAGGGTTTAGGGTTTAGGGTTTAGGGTTTAGGGTTTAGGGGCCGGCAAGCACTGGAACCCTGAGCTTTCTAGGCGTGCGGCACTCTAAGAGCACCGGAGCTCCCGAAGTCTCCGAAAGATCCCGGCAGGCTGCCTCCTTGTCCATGAGGTCCTCGGCTGCAAGCTGGGCAACATCGTTTGGGGTTTAGGGTTTAGGGTTTAGGGTTAATGTAACCACGAGCCCTAAACCCCCGAACCCCCTAAACCCTAAACCCAGCCCCAAGCACTAGGAATCTACCGAACCTGATAGGCACAAGAACGGACCGACCCTGAATCCCTAGATTCCGACCAACAGTCCTACTGTTGAGGGTTTCGGGCTTAGGGTTCGTAAGGTTTGTTTAGGGTTTAAGGTTAGGGTTTCGGCTTTAGGTTTCGGGGTTTTCGGGCATGTAGGGTCCGTTAGGGCTTGTGAGGCGCTATTGAAGGGGCTTGTAAGGGGCTTTTTAGCTATAAGGGTCTAGATCGAGGGTTTATAGGGTTTATAGGGTTTATAGGATTATAGGGTTTATAGGGTTTATAGGATATGGGGTTTATAAGGTTTATGGGGTTTAGAGGGTTTATAGGATTACCGTATAGAGGTTGATAATCCGGGGAGTTGCCCTTCCAGGGCTTCCGGCAGTGCTTCGACATGCCTCTCCCACGATCATGGTGGCGGGCTGCTTTCCAAATGGCGGCCCTAAACCCTAAAGCGAAAAAACCTAAAAACTACAAACCCTAAACCCTGAACCCCAAACCCTAAACCCTGAACCCCAAACCCTAAACCCTAAACCCCAAACCCTAAACCCTAAACCCCAAACCCCAAGCAATCGAGCCCAAGCCTTGATGATCTGCTTCTCCTTCGCGGCCTGCAGCTGCGCCTGGGGGAAGGGGGGCCAGTCTAAATGAGGGTTTGGAGCTTAAGGTTTAGGGTTTAGGGTTTAGGGTCTAGGGTCTAGGGTTTAGGGCTAGGAGTTTGGGGGTCAGGGAAAAACCGAAGCTTCTCGGGCTGAGGATTTAGGGCTTAGGGTTTGGGCCGTCTCAAGACTTCGTGCCTCCTTTTGGCAGGGGATCCTCTGGGAAAATAAACAACTACAGGGGATTTTATGGGGATAACATTGGTAATTCCTAAACCCTAAGCCCTAAGCCCTAAACCCTAAACCGTAAACCCCTGAACTCCTAAACCTTGAACCCTATAGCCTGAAGCCCTAAACCCCAAACCCTATCAGGGCTAATGGCCTAGGCTTCATGGCGGGGGAAACAGCCCGGCCTTGGTATCGCCCGGATCTGACTCGAGAACGCAGGCCACCTCTTGGGGTTTAGGGTTTAGGGTTTAGGGTGTCAAGATCCTCTCAAAGGTTAGATGCGATTGCGGAAGAGCCGCTTTTGGAGCTACGAAGATGTGCAGACTTCCTGGAAGGTGGGATACAAATTAGCAAAAGCCCAAAGCGAGCAACAAACAATACATACATACATGACTTGAGGGGTCTTCGCAGGCCCTAAACCCTAAACCCGAAACCTTACTCTAAACCCTAAACCCTAAACCCAAGATTGAAATCTTTGCCTTCCGCAGTGCAAGGAAAGACCAAGCAAGGTACCTCTTTGCATAGGTTCCCCTACTACCCCCCTCTATTCTACCCCCCACCCCCCATAATCAAGGCTTTTTAGGGATTACCCCTAGACCCCTAACCCCTAACCCCTAAACCCTAAACCCCAAACCCTAAGTTGGGATCTTTAACGGGGGAGCCTGGCGAGGTAGTAGAGGGAGGGGCATTAGGGAAACGGACGATCCTTTGGGCTTCGTTATCAACCTTCTAGGAGGTATATATCTGCTGCAGAAAGGACCCCCCTTTTGTTCCAAGATGGAAGAGATCTGAGGTTTAGGATTTAGGGTTTAGGGTTTAGGGTTTAGGGTTTAGGGTTTAGGGTTAAAAGTATTGGCACTGTTGCGCCAAGGGCCCTGCAACCACAACCCATTCAAAGCCTCTAACCCTGCAGGGGAAAAACAGGAAAATATGCCGAACGGGCTACTCAGAGATGAAGCTCCCTAAACCCTAAACCCCAAACCCTAAACCCCAAACCCCAAACCCCAAACCCCAAACCCTAAACCCTAAACCCTAAACCCCAAACCCTAAACCCTAAACCCTAAACAAGGGTCCCTGAGCCCTTTCGGCGCTCTGAGGCTTCCGCCATGCAGAAGCCCCTTCCCTTGCGAAGCCTGAGACTGGGAAACAAAGAAGCATCCCACCACGTTTGGGGTTTGGAGTTTGGGGTTTGGGAGGGTTTAGGGTTTAGGGTTTAGGGTTTAGGGTTTAGGATTTAGGATTTAGGGTTTAGGGTTTAGGGTTTAGGGTTTAGGGTTTAGGGCTTCCTTCCGGCTCTTTCCACACTCGGACATGCAGCCAAGCAGCTGCGACGCAAAGCGGAGATTCCCCTCGTGGCATCGGGTTCCCTGATCTGGGCTCTGGCTTTAAGGAAAGAAAGTTGGGGTTTAGGGTTTAGGGCTTAGGGCTCAGGGCTTAGGGTTTAGGGTTTAGGGTTTAGGGCCACAAGAAGGGTGCGATGTTACCTGGCTATCGAACATGCTATGTAACCCCCTTACAGGAACCAACTTGAGTTCTTCGACAGGAACACAGCGATCGCAGCTGCAGAGCTCAGAATCGTTGGACGCTTCTCTCGGCCAGGCATGAACCCTAAACCCTAAACCCTAAACCCTAAACCCTAAACCCTAAACCCTAAACCCTAAACCCTAAACCCTAAACCCAATGTGGGCTTGAACATGGCCCTTCAAAAACCCTAAACTTGGCATGTTCCCCCTTGTACTAACAGTCCTTAATAGTGATGAGAGGGTACTGTAATCTCTCTTAAAGATTGTTAGTATAAGGGCGAACATCCCAACCCTAAACCCTAAACTCACAACACCCGAAACAAGACCCTAAACCCAAAATCCTAAAGACCCCTAAAATCCTCAAAACCTTAAGACCCTGCCTCTTCTAAAGCCCCGAAAATCCTCAAAACCTTAAGACCCTGCCTCTTCTAAAGCCCCTAAAAAGCCTCAAAACCTTAAGATCCTGCCTCTTTTAAATAGGGTTTAGGGTTTAGGGTTTAGGGTTTAGGGTTTAGGGTTTAGGGTTTAGGGTTTAGGGTCTAGGGTTTAGGGTTTAGGGTTTAGGGTTTAGGGTCCCTGCCTCTGCTGTTTGGGGGATGCTGTAGATGATCAAGACTTGAGGCCGCCAGTTCACGTGCCTGGCGTCGCCCAATCACTCTCCAGAGACAGCTTGGGGTTCATACCCTAAACCCTAAACCCTAAACCCTAAACCCTAAACCCTAAACCCTAAAACCCTAAACCATAAAACCCAAAACCCTAAACCCTAAACCCTAAACCCTAAACCCTAAACCCGAACACGAAACCCTAAACCCTAAACCCTAAACCCGAACACGAAACCCTTAACCGTCATAGGTGATCTGAGAATGGGGGTTTGAAGGCTTCGGGCTTGTAGGACTTGACTTAAGGTTGAGAGACTGTAGGCTTTGAGTTACCACAGGCTACAGGGTGAAGTGTTGAGGGTTTTGGCGGGTTAGGGCATAGGGTTTAGGGTTTAGGGTTTAGGGCTTAGGGTTTAGGGTTTAGGGTTTAGGGTTTAGGGTTTAGGGTTTAGGGTTTAGGGTTTAGGGTTTCGGGTTTCGGGTTTCGGGTTTCGGGTTTCGGGTTTCGGGTTTCGGGTTTCGGGTTAGGGTTTACGTTTTAGGGCTCAGGGCTGCTGAGGGTCTAGCATGTGAAGTTCCACCGTTGGGACAGAAGATTGGTTTTCGGGGCTTGGGGTTTGCAGGGTTTCGGGTTGAGTGACTGCATTTCCCTTGCCGGGCCATGACCTCCAGATACCCATCGCACACTCTACGTCCCATGAAAAAGGAAATACGCGAAACCCGTCGCTTTGGCCAACCACAAGCCGCACCCAAAGCAAAGTAGCAGTGGTATTAACCAAAAGCAGCCCTAAACCCCAAACCCCAAACCCCAAACCCCAAACCCCAAACCCCAAACCCCAAACCCCAATCCCGTAACCCTAAGCTCTTTCCTGATCAACATGCGCGCCAGGGTGCTGGTATTGGGACTGCTCCAGTCGCACCAAGGCACTCAGCGCCAGCCTGAAGGTGATGCCATCCATGGCCTAAGAAGGCTGAATTGCAGGTACTGGTGTTTAGGGTTAAGGGTTTCGGGCTTGGGGTTGAGGGTTTAGGGCACAATCTGCAAAGAGATGCTCTAACAAGTTTAGCACGGCGGCGGAGCATTCGCAGCCGAGAGCCCTTGTAAGATTCTTAGGTATCTAACAAATAAGCAGGGACAGAGTTCTTAAGGTAGGGTTGAGGGTTCAGGGGCGTAGGGGGTTGAGTCTTCAGGTTTGTTCAGGTTTCAGAGTTCCGGGCCAAAGCATCCGAGCTGCCCTAGGCGATCCTCATGTCACGTACCACAGATGCATTCGCCCGCAGTTAGTTCATCCGGATACATCTGATTCCTTTCCGTCACTCCTAGTTACTGGCCAAGTCTTCCTCCTACTACTGGCCACGTCTTATCAGATCTCACAAGTAACAGTGCAAGACCTCATAGATACCTCACTTCAACATTGCAGGAGCCGTGGGTGCGCGCAAGCACTAAGAAGCCTTCAAAGAATTTGGGTTTGTGGTTTCGGAAAATGGGAGCCCCAATACCAGAATCCCTCCCCACAGATCCCAACCATGCAAGTGATGGGATGTTAGAAGCAACAAACCCTAAACCCTGAACCCTAAACCCTTCTGTTGAGAGGAAAGAACTCCGACAAATTTCTTAGAGTCGGGCGCTGCCCCACTCCTTGGCCTGGCAAGATGGCGCGCTTTTCCGCCGTTGCTAGAACTGGGGGGGGGGGTTAGGGTTTGGGGTTTGGGGTTTGGGGTTGAGGGTTTAGGGTTTAGGGTTTAGGGTTTAGGGCTTTGGGTTGAGGGGGAAGCTAGGATGGCCCCTTCAAACCTGCTGAATATATTCCTACATATAACAGATTCCTACATATGATCCTCTTAAACGGAAGTAACAGATCTCAAAAGCCTACCCAGTAAAGCTCCAAGTTCTAAGGCCAGGGTTAGGTGGGGTGTTTGGGGTTTATGGTTGCGGGTGTGCGGCTTCGTGATTCTTACGACCCTGAACCGGGCACACCCTAAATCTAGGGGCGTTAAAGCCCTGAGGAGGTGAGCTCTGCACTGCCAGTTTAGGGTTCAGGGTTTAGGGTAAGACGGAGTTCAGGCATACCTAGACCCAAGAGCACCCTGGCGCCCTGTGCGGCTTAAAGGGGCTTCAAAGGGAACCTAAACCCAAACAAGCGAATGAGGGGCTCCTGTGGGTCGCTGCATTTGGGCGCCAGCAGTGCGCAGACAAACCGAACCCTCCCATCAGCTGCCTTATGGCTCCTACGTCCTGACACCCTAAAGCCCCAAACCCTAAACCCTAAACCCTAAACGGTAAACCGTAAACCCTAAACCCTAAACCCTAAACCCTAAACCCTAAACCCTAAACCCTAAACCCTAAACCCTAAACCCTAAACCCTAAACCCTAAACCCCACCCTAATGCTAAGCCCTCAAGGAGAGGAGGCACCTCCACCTTCCAGTTCACGAAGAGGTAGAGGCCTCGCAAGGGTTTAGGGTTTAGGGTTTAGGGTTTAGGGTTTAGGGTTTAGGGTTTAGGGTTTAGGGTTCAGGGTTCAGGGTTCAGGGTTCAGGGTTTAGGGTTTAGGGCGCAAACGGCTTGGTTGCCCAGTATCCTGAGAGCAACTAGGGCGCCCCCTGCTTGTTTCAAGTCCTAACCATTCATTAGATGAGGGACTGCCAAAGATCCCGACTTCAACCTAAACCCCAAACCCGATAACCCAAACCCCAGATCCGAAACCCTCAGCTCCCCCAAACCCCAAACCCCGAAAAACAACAAAAACTAAATCCCAAACCCTAAGCCCCCGACCCAAAACCCAAACCCCAAACCCGAAACCCCAAACGCGAAAACCCAAACTGCAGAACCCTAAACCCTAAACCCTACGACGGTTTGACTGCGAGCTGCCGCCGGCCACCAAGCATGCTGTGAGCGCCCAAAGATGGTTCACCTGGGCTCTTCAAGCGGGCTTTGGGAGGGGGGGGGGGGGGGGTTTAGGGTTTTAGGGCTTAGGGTTTAGGGTTTAGGGTTTAGGGTTTAGGGTTTAGGGTTTAGGGTTTAGGGTTTAGGGTTTAAGGTTTAGGGTTTAGGGTTTAGGGTTTAGGGTTTGGGGTTTAAGGTTTAGGGTTTAGTGAGGGTTTAGGGTTTAAGATATAGGGTAGGGTTAGGGGGTTTCTGGTGTTTGAAAACTTCCAGACCCCAAGAGGAGGGGGAAGGACTACCGGTCTGCCGCCGCGGCACGATGATCATGATAGCCACACCTGAGCCATGCGCAATCCCTATAAGTCCTATGAACCCTATGAACCCTAAAAACCCTACAAACCCTAGAAATCCTAAAAACTCGAAAGCTCTAAACAACCTAAAACCCTAAAACCCCAACAACCAAAAAGGGCCCAAAAACCCTGACCTTAACAACAAACAAATCCTATAAGCCCTAAAAGGAAAAAGAAACGATAAACCCCATAAACCCTAAAACCCGAAAACAAAGACGATAAACCCTGTGAACCCTATAAAACCTGAACCCGTTCAAGGATTTTTGGGGTCTATGGGGACGAAGCAAAGGATGCCCCCAAAACGCTGGGCCAGCAGACCTTCAACCCCAAACCTGCAAACGACACCCCGAAACCTTACAGTTTAGGGTTTAGGGGTTTGTTACGGGCGTTTTAGGGTTCTCAGGGTGGCTGTAAAAAATTGATAAATTTAAATTGAAACAATATGGTGGTAAGGTTAAATTGGCTTTGATTAAAACTTTTAGATAGTTTTGCGGTTCCTGAGGGTTTCTAGAGTTGTCAGGGTTCCTGATGCCACAAACCTAGACCCCGTAAACCGCGCCAGATTTGTCGCCGCTCAGGGCTCAGGGTCAAGGGCTTCGGCCACGGGGGCTTACGGCTTACGTGGCTTAGCGCCTATTGGGGGTTTCGAGAGCAGAATGTGCCCTAAATCCCTAAACCCTAAACCCTAAACCCTAAACCCTAAACCGCAGTTCCCAGGCAGCCCAAGGAGCAGATGAGGAAGCCCAGCCCGCAGCTGATCAGGTTCAGCACGCGGCAGCCTCGGACCCAGACCCCCAATCATGGGCTCCCTTTGCTACCCCCCTCTGTAAGGTTTAGGGTCTAGGGAAAAAGGTTTAGGGTTTAGGGTTTAGGGTTTAGGGTTTAGGGTTTAGGGTTTGGGGTTTAGGGTTTAGGGCTTAGGGTTTAGGGTTTAGGGCTTAGGGCTTAGGGTTTAGGGTTAGGGTTTAGGGTTTAAGGTACTACCCCCTACAGACTACCCCCCCTCACTGCGCTCTCTAGGGCCTTCAAGACACACCAGATAAGAACTTCATCCAAGACTCCATAGTTTTGCAATATCGCTAAATAGTACTGTTACTTCATGATCCATCCTCTGTTTGAGTATAGCATTATACAGAACATGCACTTGAATATCCGTGTCCCGGACGTCTTCTCCAAAACCCAAAAGCCAAAACCCAAAACCCAAAAGCCAAAACCAAAAACCTAAAACCCTAAACCCTATACCCTGAACCCTAAACCCAAACCCCAAACCCTACTCTGAGGCATCCGGCGGCGCTGGTGGATCCATGAGGGGCGCCACGTGGAGGAGTGCAGCCACGTCCTGAGGAACCCAAGGTGCGGTGCAGGGTTTAGGGTTTAGGGTTTAGGGTTTAGGGTTTAGGGTTTAGGGTTTAGGGTTTAGGGTTTAGGGTTTAGGGTTTAGGGTTCAGGGTTCAGGGTTCAGGGTTCAGGGTTCAGGGTTCAGGGTTCAGGGTTCAGGGTTTAGGGTTTGGGCTTAGGGTGTGTCACGATCGACCGCTCTGAGACCCCGGCAGCGTGAAGCAAGACAGGTTCATGAAGGCATAGGCCATCAAGAAGCACCTTGGGGTCCCTAAACCCGAAACCCGAAACCCTAAACCCTAAACCCTAAACCCTAAACCCGAAACCCTAAACCCTAAACCCTAAACCCTAAGCCCTAAGCCCTAAGCCCTAATCCGAGACGCCATCAAGACGCAACTCGGGGTAGCTCACCGAGACTTAATAAACGGAAAAGAGCATCTCCCGGGTACCAGGCGCAGAGTCCCCCAGGGTTTAGGGTTTAGGGTTTAGGGTTTAGGGTTTTGGGGGTTTTGGGGGTTTGGGGGTTTAGGGTTTAGGGTTTAGGGTTTAGGGGTTTAGGTTTTGGGTTTAGTTTCTGTGCCTGCTGTACAACCGTAAGCCCACTCAGCCCTAATCAGCAAAACGAACTCTTGAAACCGAACCCCCCAACCCCCCCCAACCCTAAGCCTATAACACCTCCCATCCAAAACCCTAAACCCTGCACCCTAAGGCCAACCAGACTGCAGGGTTTCCGTGGTTAGGGTTTGTAGGGCTTGGGGTTTGTGGGGTGGTTTAGGGTTTAGGGTTTCGGATTTAGGGTTTAGGGTTTAGGGCAGCAAAGCTCATCATTTTTATCTTTTCCTGATGGCATGTTCTTCTGATGCGCAGGGGTTGTTCTGAGGTGTGAGACGAATGCACTTCGAGCAGCGTGAGGTTCCACAATCGCTGCTGACGAGACACTTCGGAGGCGGAGAGCAGTTGAGGGCTTGTTGTTGAGAGTTCAGGGTTCCCTAAACCCTAAACCCTAAACCCTAAACCCTATAAGCCCCGGGCAATCTCACCCGAAGATGCCTCGCTTGCGCACAAGGGGGCTCTTTGGTGCGCCTTTAAAGGGACTGCTTGCAGGTCCATGGTACTTAGTAACCAATAATAACTGTACTTATAGGGTTTGGGGTTTAGGGTTTAGGGTTTACGGTTTAGGGTTTAGGGTTTAGGGTTTGTTTAGGGCTAGGGTTTGGGGTTTAAGGAGTTTAAGGTAACTGTACGCATAACCCACTTATGAGCCCCGAAAGTGCCCAAATTTGTAAGTACAGTTCTAACTGGCCAATAAGTACCATGAACCTCCAAGTGAGATGGGGGGCGCAGTGGCGCCTGCCTGACTGGGAGCTTGCTGCGGGAAGGAAAACCCAAGGTGGAGGGTTTAGGGTTTAGGGTTTGGGGTTCTCGGGTTAGGGTTGGTTTGGGGTTTAGGGTTGATTCTCCCCGTAGCAGGCGCCCCCTGTGAAATGCGAAGCGGCTGTCTTGTGGCAGCTTCATCGTCATTTGGGAAAGAGGATTGTGAGCACGCTCGGCGGTTTGGTCCAAGTAGAACCCTAAACCCTAAACCCTAAACCCTAACCCCTAAACCCTAAAGGTTTGGGGTTAAGGGTTTAGTACGGTAGAGGGTTTAGGGCAAGATGTCTTCATTCCTATCCCCGGAACACGCTCGCTGCGCCCACGTTCAGAATTCATGCTGGTGCCAGCATCTGGCAAAAAATGCGTAAAAACATTGAAGCGCTACATCGCCTTTTGCCTGAACAAGCCCCGCGGTCTAACTATATCCACAGCGTGTTTAGCAGGGGGGGGGTTTAGGGGTTTGGGGTAAAATATAAACCCTAAACCCTGAACCCATGTGAGCCCTAAAGCCCCCCTACAGCCCTAGAAGCTTCACAAACCTGCACCCTTGAGCCCTGCAAACCCTGACAACCCTGGAACCCTTCAAACCCTGGAGCCCTTCAAACCCTGGAACCCTTCAAACCCTGGAACCCCTTAAAAAAAAACTCAAAACCCTTAAACCCCAATTAAACCCTAAACCCTCAACCCAACATATTCGGAAAGATCTTCGGAGTTCGGTTTCATCGAACCCTAAACCCTAAACCCTAAACCCTAAACCCTAAACCCTAAACCCTAAACCCTAAACCCTAAGGTGTGCCCTCGTCTGGTAGAGGCGCTGTGAGAAGCCGTTTGGCCAAGCGTGGCAGCTGCATGAGAACCCTAAGCCAAGCTGCGCTTTCGACACCTTTTCATGGGTTTAGGGTTTAGGGTTTAGGGCTTAGGGCTTAGGGTTTAGGGTTTAGGGTTTAGGGTTTAGGGTTTAGGGTTTAGGGTTTAGGGTCTTGGGCTCAGGGGTGCCCCTTGTACAGCAAAGCAAGGGGCATGAACAAAAAGAGCCGTTGCAACAAGAAGCATAACCCAGTAAACCGCCAGACCGGCAGCTTTGCAAGGTGCGCCGCCACACAGAAGCTGCCTCTCGAACTACATGAAGATGACCTCATTGGCTGAGTCTAGCAAGAGTGGCTTTACCATGAGCTTCAAAGGCGGGTTTAGGGTTTCGGGTTTGGACAAACCGTTCTCAGGTCTCGTGTACCCCACAAAGGCCGAAGGTGACCTATGCCAGCTAAGCGACAAGACAGGTGATGTTGTCCATGGAGCCTTAGAACAGCGACTCACACGTCGAGCAGTTGGCAATGGATATTTTTCGAAGCCCTACAAAACCCTACTAATCCCTACTAAACCCTACTCATTCCTACTACAACCTAACCCTACTAAAACCCTACTACACCCTCAAACCTGCTGAGCACTACCATACCATTTTCTGCCAGGCTGCCAGTTCGCTGTGCTTCTTGCACAAGCCTTCATCAGGGGTTTAGGGTTTAGGGTTTAGGGGGTTGACGCAGTCGTGAGGATCTTCCCTTCGAGAACCCCAAAAGGCCTGACACCCCACCTCGAGCTTCTTAAGTGCACTAGGACCGCTTTAGGGTTAGGGGTTAGGGAGTTTAGGGCTTAGGGCTTAGGGTTTGGGGTTTTAAGGGGTTTAGGGTTTAGGGTTTAGGGCTTACGGTTTTGGTCGACAAGCCCTGCGGATCAGACACCAGCCTGTGAGCAACGTGGTCTAACCCGTTCCGACCTGAGCAGGGTTTAGGGTTTAGGGTTTAGGGTTTAGGGTTTAGGGTTTAGGGTTTAGGGTTTAGGGTTTAGGGTTTAGGGTTTAGGGTTTAGGGTTTAGGGTTTAGGGTTTAGGGTTTAGGGTTTAGGGTCCAGTGCAGGAAGCGTGCAGAAGCACCACTTTTAGGGTCTAGGGTTCAGGGTTTAGGGGTTGCAAACCGATAACTGGGCTATGCGCCCTTCTAGGGTTTAGGGTTTAGGGTCCAGGGTCTAGGGTTTAGGGTTTAGGGTTCGGGTGAAGCCAGAATGTCTGCCAAAGCTGCTGCAGGACACGACAACTTTGGCCACTTCCTGGCAGGGGCCAACGCGCGTGCTTGGCTTCGATGGCGAATCCGGATCTCGTGGCTTCGGCTAAACCCTAAACCCTAAACCCTAAACCCTAAACCCTAAACCCTAAACCCTAAACCCTAAACCCTAAACCCTAAACCCTAAACCCTAAACCCTAAACCCTAAACCCTAAACCCTAACCCTGAACCCTCAACCCTTTACCCTGCACCCTCACACAAGTCGCCTTGCAAACCTACACATGCCTTAGCTGGTTCCAAGGTGCACATAAAACCTTGAGGCCTAGGAGTAGAATGAGTAGTTGGGTAGCTTCTAGTATGAGCTTCAGAGTTCGGAGGGGTTTAAGTCGTGTGCATTAGACTTGTGTGAATACAAAGGGATACTGTGGGTGTGACGTTTAGGGCATCAGAGCTCCAGAAGCCATCTTGAAAGACCTAAGGGTTTAGGGTTTAGGGTTTAGGGTTTAGGGTTCAGGGTTTAGGGTTTAGGGTTCAGGGTTCAGGGTTCAGGGTTTAGGGTTTAGGGTTTAGGGTTTAGGGTTTAGGGTTTAGGTTTAGACCCATGCATCTGTGCGTTTGAAGGCCACTCCAAGGCGGGGCAGTGGCCAACCTTCATACAAGAGGCCTGAATACACTTTGCTGCAGGAAATTTGGACTACTAAGACATATCTGAATGAGGAAAACATGTGCTGAAAAGTCTGCTCCCGGTGTTGCAACAGTCGAGTCCAACCCCCACCCCCACCCTAAACCCCTAAACCTACACCCACCGTAGACCACCAACCCCTAAAACCCTCAACCCGTAAACCCTAAACCCCTGATCCCTAAACCCTTTATAAACCCCGCAGCCCCGCAACCCTGAATCCCTAATCCAAAACCCCAAACCCTAAACCCTAAACCCCTACACCCTAAACCCCTAACCCCTAAAGCCTAAATACCCCCCTCGGTCCCCTGTCCCAGCCCTAAACCCTAAGTACCCCCCTTCGGTCCCCTGTCCCAGCCTTCTCCTCGGCAAAGTCCCACAGGCCATCGCTGGCCAAGACAAGCGCCAAGTCCCGCTTGGCGTCGTGGGCGCGCACCGAGGGCTTGCAGCTCAGCCCTGCCAGGGCGGTTTAGGGTTTAGGGTTTAGGGTTTAGGGTTTAGGATTTAGGGTTTAGGGTTTAGGGTTTAGGGTTTTGGGTTTTGGGTTTTGGGTTGAGGAGGTTTAGGGGGTTTAGGGGGTTTAGAGGGTTTAGAGGGTTCAGAGGGTTTAGAAGGTTTTGGGTTTGGGTTTGGGGTTTAGGGTTTACAGGGTGTACAGGAGGGTTTACAGGGTTTATAGGTCTCTAGGGTTTATTTGGTCTTCAGGGTACGTAGGGTTTATAGGGTTTATAGGTTTATAGGGTCCGTAGGGTTGTTAGGGCTTGTAGGGTTTACAGGGTTTATTGGGTTTACAGGGTTTAGAGGGTCTATGGGGTCTATCGGGGGTTATCGGCTTTCATAAGGTTTTATAGGGTTGATAGGGATTAGCACATGCAAGTTGGTCACGCTGGGGCCAACATGAGCTGACATGAGACGATCGATCCCAAAGACGGAGAACGAGAAGCGCGACTTGAGTGCGCCACTGCCCCCCCCCCCCCCCCCCCCGCCCAAAACCCCCACCACCACCAAGAACAGTTCTAGCTTCCCTAAACCCTGAACACTTTCTCCTAAACCCTTTCTCCCAAACCCTAAACCCTGAACCCTGAACCCTAAACCCTAAACCCTAAACCCTAAACCCTGAACCCTAAACCCTAAACCCTAAACGCACCCTAAACCCTAAACCGCCCGCAGCCGGCCTGAGTTCTTCAGAAGCAAGTCCCCCAAAGCCCGGCTCACTGCGAGCTCACCTCCGCAAGGCCCCATGAGCATAAAAGGGCGGGAGTTGGGTTTGGGGTTTAGGGTTTAGGGTTTAGGGTTTAGGGTTTAGGGTTTAGGGTTTAGGGTTTAGGGTTTAGGGTTTAGGGTTTAGGGTTTAGGGTTTAGGGTTTAGGGTTTAGGGTTCAGGGTTCAGGGTTTCGGGTTTAGGGTGTATTTCTAGGGGTTTAATCTGGGGTTTCGAGCCTATTACAGATAGTTTTGGGCTTAGACCGGCTTTCGGCATTATCTAATGGGTCTTTTGCACTCATTTGCTCATCTTTGCAAATCAGAAAAGTGATCATGGAGGCATTCCTCATCTTGGTCTGTGCAACATTGCACTTCACGGTCACCTTTCTGAAATCGAAAGTCGACATACGAACACGGTCCCACGGTTCAAGAAGGTTTGCAAGACAACCAGAGCCACGGTTTAGGGTTTAGGGTTTAGGGTTTAGGGTTTAGGGTTTAAAGTGTCTTGATCCCTCAGCTCCAAGCCTGTGAAAGCTCCCCAAATGCGCTTGGCCAATAGAGTGGCAGACCTTTGGCCTAGACCGAGAACCCGCCAATCCCTAAAAACTCCGACACCCCCCCCCCCCCCCCCGCCAAACCCTAAACCCTAAACCCTCAACCCTAAACCCTGAACCCTGAACCCTGAACCCTAAACCCTAAACCCTAAACCCTAAACCCTAAACCCATCAGCCCGGTGCCTGAGACGCGACCCATGGTCACGAAGCCGCCCTCCTCGCGGATGCGCCGCGCCTGGGTGGGGGGCCGAAGAGATTCGGATTTAGTAGGGTTTAGGGTTGAGGGTTGAGGGTTGAGGGTTGAGGGTTGAGGGTACAACTGACACCCTCCAAGCTGAAGGCAACTGGTGGGGCTTAAGGCCAGCCAAGGGCGTGTCAACATCGGAGTCCCTTGCAATTTAGGGAATACTAATAGGGCCTGCTTTTAAGGCTTAGGGTTGAGGGACGTCCTTCTCCGACCTACACCCGACCTCTTGAAAGCCTTTATAAGCTCTTAACCTGCTTGAGCACTAAACCCTACTAAGCCGCCTAAATCCTGAAACCTCCCAAACACACGACAATACTGCACCCCCAACAAAACCTACAGGTAAGCCCCACGAAGCCCGAAACTTCAAAATCCTACACTATAGTTGACAGAGCTTAGGGCTTACAGGGTTTAGGGCTGGTTTAGGGTTTAGGGTTTATAGGGTTTATGGGGCTTATAGGGCCTACAGGGCTTATAGGGTTTTCAGGGCTTATAGAGCTTAGGGCCTACAGGGTTTTGGGGCTCAGGGCTTAGGGTTTAGGGAGTGTTTCGCCGCCTCTGCGGCATCGGTCGGCCGATGGTCCACAGAGAGCCGCTGGGATCCTCCGCGTTTTTTTTTTTTTTTTTTTTGGGGGGGGGGGGGGGGTAGGGGTTTTAGGGGTTAGGGTTTAGGTTTGAGGGTTTAGGGTTTGAGGGTTTTGAGGTTTGAGGGTTTAGTTTTGGTTTAGGGTTTAGGGTTCAGGTTTAGGGTTTAGGGGTAGGGTTTAGGGTTTAGGGTTTAGGGTTTAGGGTTTAGGGTTTAGGGTTTAGGGTTTAGGGTTTAGGGTTTAGGGTTTAGGGTTTAGGGTTTAGAATTTAGGGTTTAGGGTTTAGGGTTTAGAATTTAGGGTTTCGGGTGTTAGGGTTCCGGGTTCGGGGTTTTCGGCTTTAGGGTTGAGGGTTCAGGCTCAAGGGCTTGCAGTTTGGGTTTAGGGTTCAGGGTTCAGGGTTTTAGGGTTAAGGGTTTAGGGTTTTAGGGCTTCAAGGTTTGAGGGATATAGGGTTTCAAGGTCTTACTAGTAGGGTTCAGGGTTTTCGGGTTAGGGTTCAGGGTTTTGGGCTACAGGGTTCAGGGTTTCAATGGTCTTGGAGTTTAGTAAGCCCTAGACCCTAAACCCTAAACCCTTAGGGCTTAGGGACTTTAGGAGTGTGTGTCGGTGCATCGGCCATCCACGGAGGTGGACGTCATCCGTCAGGATTCGGCCAACAAGCGCGTCATGATAACAACCCCTAAACCCCTAAACCCCTAAACCCTAAACCCTAACCCCTAAACCCCTAAACCGTAAACCCTAAACCCTGAACCCTGAACCCTGAACCCTAAACCCTAAACCCGAAACCCTAAACCCTAAACCCTAAACCCGAAACCCTAAACCCTAAACCCTACTTAACGCTCCCTTAACCCGACACTTGGGAGCCTCCCGAGCCATCGACAGTGAGGGCGCGGGAGTCGCCGACGTTGGCGACCTGAGCATCGCCCTCGTTTGGGGTTTAGGGTGTAGGGTTGAGGGGTTTAGGGTTTAGGGTTTCGGGTTTAGGGTTTTAGGCTTCAGGATTCAGGGTTCAGGGTCTCGGGTTTCGGGGTCAGAGTGTAGGGCTTTGGGTTTAGGGCCTAGCCCTACACGCCAACCATTTTCAAAATGCTCACCACATCTGACCTCATCCTTAACTCTGCGAATCCTGAGCCCTGAGCCCTGCAAACCAAAGTACCCAAGACCCTCTTAACCCTAAACCTTGTACAACTAAGGGTTTAGGGTTTAGGGTTTAGGGTTTCGGGTTTAGGACTCAGGACTTAGGGCTTCGGACCCTTTTAATGGAACCCAAATACTCAACTTACAACACCGCCCCTCCAGCGCAGGCTCGTCTGGGAGATGTGGGGAAGCAAGTCTTGGCCATGGAGTTCTTACGGAAGATGGGCCCTCGGGAACCTTAGGGAAGCTTCGGGAGCCTTGGGGAGTAGTGGGGCTCCATACCCCCCTTGAGCGCCCCTCCCTTAAGAACTCTATAACTTAGAGCTTCCAGACTGGGAGGACAGACTTCGGGGGCCCAGGGTCTTTCTTGGAGGTTCATGGCTACTTCTAAGTGAGGCTAGAAGTAGGGTAGCTATGGTTGGAACCCTATTCGGGGCACTTATAATCACGTTAGGATCTCAGGAGGAAAATTCTGAGGTTCAAGCTGGCATTCAAGTCCTAAATTGAAAGGTTTAGACGTTTAGAGCATCTTTTCTCCAAAGCAGCTTCAATCAAACTGCGCCTTGTGCGCAGGCCAGAGGCACCTAGAGGACGGGCTGCATCCGCCCCTGTACAAGGGTAGTTCTCTAAATTGAGGTCCCCTTGTAATTGCTGGGTCCCACATAATATACATATGTGTTTTGATATAAATACAAATATATAGAGAGAGAGAGAGCAGCACCTTGCAAACAGGACTTCCAATTGGGACCCTAATTTCGAGAACGACCCTGACATGGTGATCACCGAAAACGAACTACATCAGGGCACATGCGGAAGTATCTTCAAGCTCGGAGACTTGCCTGCACCATTGATGGGAGAGGGATGGGGTACTATGTAAAAATGGCCATCTTTGTTCCTTATTGGGTTTAAGGATTCCAAAAAACAACCCTAAACCCTGAACCCTAAACCCCAAGCCCTAAACCCTAAACCCTAAGCCCTAACCCTAAAACCCATTTTCAACAATGACCCAGTAACCCCAAGCCCTAAACCCTAAACCCTAAACCCTAAACCCTAAACCCTAAACCCTAAACCCTAGGGACCCTAAAACCCATTTTCAACAATGACCCAGTTGCTTAGTTAGCTCCTCCAGAGACTCAGCCAAGGCCGCGTCTTCCTGCGCGCGCTCGTAGAAGATAAGCGTTGGAACAAAGAGCCTGGGAGGAGCCCAGTCAACCAGGTTTAGGGTTTAGGGTTTAGGGTTTAGGGTTCAGGGTTCAGGGTTTAGGGTACCCTTTTTCGGGTTGGCTACTCTTTTTTCGCAGGGAACCTAGAACCCAATAGCAAACAGGTACCTCTGGGCTAACCAAGCAGCCCTGACAACAAGACGCGAACAGCTGAGTTCCAGTTTTCTTTCTCCTGCACACAGGTGTCGTCGAAGAGGACCCAGTGCCTGCGAGATGGGCACCAGAAGAGAGCCACGTAGTGCATGCCGCTGTAGCACACCAGCCCGTGAAAGGCGTAAAGCACCGATTCCGTCGACTCCGTCGCACCCTCGAAAATCTCCCTCATTTGCAGCTTCGGGTCAATCATGGAAAGCACCTGGGCACCTTAGTAGCCCAGAATCCATCTTATGATAAGGGTATCCTAATTTTGGGTTCTTGATACATCAGGGAACCTTGAACCCAAAAAAGGGAAAAGGGCACCACTGGGCAACCAAGGCACACTGTTCCCGCGTGGGCCTGGAACTGGGCCATGCGAGGGACACCAGAAAGGTCTCAGGCTGGCGTGTCAACCATCGCTCGGTGATCAAGGTCTGGCGCGAGTTGCACTCGCCACAGTTCCCCCCTCGGAGCTGACAAAGCCTAGGTCATGGTTGGGATAGATTATACATATAAATCTCTCTTCCTTGTTGAATTTTAAGAACCCCGAAAATTGCAAAATCTTACCCAATTATGACAAAGAAACTTCCGGAGGACCTGCTGCAGACTCGATCTTCCTGCGCTGCCCGCACTCGGCACGAAGTGGATCGACTGCCAAAGGCCCAGGGCCCCAAAGGAGTCCCCCTGCGTGCTCGCGTCGAGCTCCTCACGGCGCTCCAGCAACTCCGTCACGTAGACGCCGTAGGTGAAGGCACCTTATAAGGGGAACCAAACATGAGCCGTAAAATTATGTACCCGACACGCCTCTCCTTTGCTAGATTCCTAGTAAGGGTATATACGCACCATCAGCCCTTTTAGGGTAACTATTTGGCCCTAAACCTTAAACCTCTAAACCTCTAAACCCTAAACCCTAAACCCTAAACCCCAAGGCACTGGTGACCTCCGGCTCTCCCGTGGCCCCACAGAAGGTGCATCGCGGCACGTCGACGTACTCCACGCCGAAGACTTCATGGCCGAGGCAGAGAGGATGGCAGCCGAAGTGGCTCGCCTCTTCGATGAACTCCGCGTGCACATGCTGAGCACGGGGCGAAGCGGATGGTGCCAGCCTGCTACTCAAGCTGCAAGCATGCAAGATGCCCAGGATGACTTCGATGGTCTCCGTTGCGTCTTCCATGTCGCCCGTCTGAAACCGGCCTTGCATGTTGTATGCAGTCGAGAGTACCTTGCGCAAGGCATCCGGTGGAAGCACATCCCTGTCAGAGACGGCAAACTCATGAAACAGACTCTTCAGGGCACAGTAGCAGCAGTGTTCGCTCTCAGCTGGTCGTGTGCCCGAACCCGACGCAGCTGAATGCACATGGCAGGGAGCTTGAAGCAAGCGCCTTCGGAAGGACTGGAGGTTCCACAGCGCCTGGATGACAACATTTAAGAAGCAGTGGTTCGCGCCGCCGTGGTTCTCCAGTCCACGTGCTCGCCACGTCTGTCCCAATTCGTGTGCAGGATCCGGCAGTTGAGCGACAGAGGGCATCATGAAGGGGCGAAAATGCCCACACAAATCACAGGCTCCTAAACCCTATAAACCCTAAACCCTAAACCCTAAACAGATGAGCCATGCCTCTGTCATCTCAGGCAGCGACCGGCTTACTACCAATCACTGGAAATTTTGGAGGGGGGAACCCTATAAACCCTTAACCCTACGCCCTAAAGGGCCGTAAAACCTAAACCCTAGAAGTGTGTGGAGAGAATGAGAGCCAGAACGCAGGCATTCCGTTTGGGCTGTTGATCAGCCGGGAGAAGTGTCGCAGGCCCATATATCCCAGCACTAGAGGGGAACTGCAACACCAAACCTCAAGCCTTCAGCCCTGCTGCCCGTAAACCCTAAACCCTAAACCCTAAACCCTAAACCCTAAACCCTAAACCCTAAACCCTGAACCCTGAACCCTGAACCCTGAACCCTAAACCCTAAACCCTAAACCCTAAACCCTAAACCGCATGCGCCGGTCTGTCGTTCGGCCCAAGCCGCGTGGACGCGCATGCCCTGCCCAGGGCATTAGCTGCGAAGTTCTGTTTATAGGTCTCTCAAGGGAGAGGGGGTAGGTACCTAGGGAGCCTTCGGGAAGCTTCGGGAGCCTTAGTAGTGGGGAGTACTAGGGAAGCTTGGGTTGCATGTTGACAAAATCTGGCCATTTCCCATGTAGTAGGGGTTAGGGTTCGGGGTTAGAGGGTTTAGGATTTGCGGTTTAGGGTTCAGGGTTCTGGGTTTAAGGGTATCCCGTCATATGACCCAAAACATAGCCTCATGTTAGGACCCCCCCACCCCCCATCTGCTCTCATCGCTTTGTCTTTGAACCTAGCCCTATGAACCCCTCAGCCTGGAACACAAAATGAAAACCCTAAACCCTAAACCCCAAAGCCCGTGAACCCCTGCAAAACACGATACAAAGTGCCCTTTCACCCTTTGAAGCCCCAAGGCCTGAAACTCATAAACCCTGGACCAAGCCCCCTAAACTCTGAAACCTAAGCCCTAAGCCCTAAGCCAAAAAAGCTAAACCCCTAAACCCTAAACCCTAGACCCTAAACCCCAAACCCTAAACCCTAAACCCTAAACCCTAAACCCTAAACCCTAAACCCTAAACCCTGTCCCTTGCCCATGTTCCCTTGCCTGGGGCAGCCTCCGCACCAAAGCCACGGTGGCCGTGCAGCCAAAGCGCCACGCACCGACCTCCGGCTTCTTTTGGGGTTTAGGGTTGAGGGTTTAGGGTTTAGGGTTTAGGGTTCAGGGTTTCAGGGTTTGGGGTTTAGGATGTTTATAGGGTCTAGGGTTCAGGGTTTCGGGTTCAGGGCGTTTAGGGCGTTTAGGGCCTTTAGGGCGACAAGGGGTTCGGGGGATTTGGGGGGGGGGGGGATTTAGGGTTTAGGATGTTTCGGGTGTTGGGGATTTCATGGATTTTTTGGGGCTTGGGGTTTAGGATGCTTATAGGGACGAGGAAGTTGGGAGCCTGCGGCTTCTTGAGGACTTAAGCGGTTTAAGGGATTTAGGGGTTTAGGATGCTTAGGGTGTTTAGAGTCTAGAGCTAAGGGCTTCTTAGGGAAACATATTCTTTATGTGTTTAGGGTGTGGGGTTTAGGGATGTGTTGCGGGCTTTTAGGGGTTTAAAGGGCGGGCTTGTAGGCTATCGGACGCTGTAGAAGGCAGAAGGGCTTCGGGAGGGGAAGCAGGTGAGGCCCTTGCAGCCTAAACTTTGGGGTTTAGGGTTAGGTTTAGGGTTTAGGGTTTAGGGTTTTTAGGGTTTAGGGTTTGGGGTTTGGGGTTTAGGGTTTAGGGTTTAGGGTTTAGTGTTTAGAGGTTTAGAGCTTAGAGAGGAGGAGCTCGAAACGCCCCAAACCTCCAAACCCCAAACCTCCGGGAGATATTATCATAAACCCGAAACCCTAAACCCAAAACCCTAAACCCAAAACCCTCTTTGTCTTGGGGCTTGAGGACTAGAAGGGCCCTTAAAAACCCTCAGAAAACTAATCCGAAGTGTGATCCCCATAAAACCCAGCAAGGGAAAATGTGAGAAAAACAAACATCCCAAGGGGCTAGCTACTATACAAGGGCCTGAATATTTGATATAGTTCTTTCTTGTTTTGGGGGGGGGGGGGGAGGCGGAATCCTGCTAGTAAATATTCCGATCCCGATAGTACCCAAGGGAAAGCTAGCCACGCCCACCTGACGTAGCTGGTCATCGGCCTGCAAAGCACTTGGCTGCACTCAAAAGGGTAGCTAGAAATTAAATTTTTAGCTGCCTTAGCCCTAAACCCTAAACCCTAAACCCAAAAAGGCTAAGGATCTAAGTTGCAGTAAAGTACCACAAAGAGCAGGCAAGATAAGTTGGGACCGTCAGTCCACCCGAAACATCCTGTGACTCCATGCAGCCCGCAGTATCGAAAATTTCCTTGTGGGGAGGGTTTAGGGTTTAGGGTTTAGGGTTTAGGGTTTAGGGTTTAGGGTTTAGGCTTTAGGCTTTAGGCTTTAGGCTTTAGGCTTTAGGCTTTAGGCTTTAGGCTTTAGGCTTTAGGCTTTAGGCTTTAGGCTTTGGGCCTTAGCTTTGGGCTGTAGGCTTTGGGGCTTGAAATTTCTAGGACTTGACTCCTTTCTTGGGGGGGCAGAGGCAGGAGGGTGGGGGGGGGGGGTTTGCGGGGGGGGGTTGTGTTTGCTTTTTGTTTTTTCCGCGCTGTGCCTTTTTAATGCTTGGCGCTTTGCTTTCCAAGATATCACACTTGCAGTTAAGCTCAAGATGCCAGAAAATCACCCTGTGCAACTGTTGGGAGGCATCACAGTCGTTGGTTGTCATCTGAAAAAGTGAGTAGAGACAAGGAAGGAGTACGAAAGAGCTACTCCTCCCCAATCGAACCCCCCCCCCTCCCCCGGCCAGAACAAAGTCGAGCCAAGCCAAACAATACAAAAAATCAGAACAATAATAACAATAATAACAAAAATAACAAAAATAACAAAAATGACAAGAATAACAATAATAACAATAATAACAATAATAATAATAATAATAATAACAATAATAACAGTAATAACAATAATAACAATAAAAACAATAATAACAATAATAACAATAATAACAATAATAACAATAATAACAATAATAACAATAATAACAATAATAACAATAATAACAATAATAACAATAATGACAATAATTGGTAATGAAAAATGATCATAAACCGGTTGAGGGTTCACGGCCAAAGGCAACTAGCAGCTGCAGGAGCCACGACAAGGGGAAGCATAGCCACCCCGAAAAGAACTTGGCGGCCTCATCGACTTGGAGAAAAGCTTAGTTGTCCAGTACCTAGGGGTTTTAAAGGCTCACCTTTGGGACTATAAGGGGAATGTATTAACCCACAAAAGTTAAGAGTTACCTACTCTACTACGAAGAAAGCATGTTGAGGCAGCTGTTGGTTGCAGCTATGTAGGGATTGTAACGGGAGAATACGAGCACGGACGGTTTTTTTTGAGTTCTCCTGTATTGGTTCAATGCTATCCTGACCGACTGGGCTTTGCCCAAACGCCTAAATCCCAAACGGCCAACGCTCCCTACACCTCCGAACGCTATAGCCCCGAATCTCTCTCCCCTAAACCAAACCCTAAACCCTAAACCCTAAACCCTAAACCCTAAACCCTAAACCCTAAACCCTAAACCCTAAACCCTAAACCCTAAACCCTAAACCCTAAACCTAAACCCTAAACCCTAAACCCTAAACCCTACCCTAAACCCTGAACTCAATCCCTCACGAGCCTTCTGGAAGGTCCGCGTGAGGGCCTCAGCCACTACCTGAAGGAGCGCAGTGATTTCAGGGCTTGGGGAATCTCAGGGATTTGGAGTTTTTGGATTTAGGACTGCGCGCAAGGGAGAAGGAGGGGCAGCAAAGTCGCACGAAGGGGCCCCGGATTATTACTAATACAGGTTCATGGCTATAAGTAGGGCAGGGATACTATGGTCTCATAACCTTATTTAGGGAGCTTGTCACCACACTTACAAATACCCATGAACCTTCTCGCCCTAAACCCTAAACCCTAAACCCTAAACCCTAAAGTCTTGGCCGCGAGCGCGACCTAGTCGCGAAGCGGCCTCGCGACGATCAGGAGCCGTCAAGACACACCACTGCAGAGGGTAAAGCCTCTGCAGCCTCTCCTCCTCGGCAAGGCCCCCGTGATGGGACTAATAAAGGTCAGACCTGTAAACTTCAACCCCATACCCGGCATGAAATCCTAAATCCTAAATTCGAGCCTACAAGCTTCCCGGAGCTTCCCAGGGCTTTTTTGAAGCCCCCAGAGCTTCTTCGAGAGCTTTTCAAGCTGCTTCGGAGCCTTTTAGGGGCTCCTAAGGGTCACCCGGACCCCCGCGACCTTTTCACAGCCTAATTTTGGTCAACGGGGGGTCGTATTTTCCCATTTTCAAAGCAATTTAGTATTCGGAGACCCCCCTTGCTCAAAACTCCGACCCCCCCTTGAAGGGGAAAGTTTGCCTCCAAAAACACCCCAAATGAGGGGGACCCCAGGATCGGCCCGGGTCCCAGTTGAAAGTGCGATTTTTTAGTACTGAAATCGACGGTTCTGGGCGGGCTCTAAAACCGAGCCTTCACCGGTTTCAGGGTTTCAAGTTTTTCAAGGCTCTTCATCCCAGAGTTTCCCAGGGCTTTTTGAAGCCACCAGAGCTTTTTCGATAGCTTTTCAAGCTGCTTGGGAGCATTTTAGGTGCCCCCCAAAGGGGGTCACCCGGACCCCTGCGACCTTTTCACGGCCTAATTTTGGTCAAGCGGGGGGTCGTATTTTTCCATTTTCAAAGCAATTTAGTATTCGGAGACCCCCCTTGCTCAAAACTCCGACCCCCCCTTGAAGGGGAAAGTTCGCCTCCAAAAACACCCCAAATGAGGGGGACCCCAGGATCGGCCCGGGTCCCAGTTAAAAGTGCGATTTTTTAGTATTGAAATCGACGGTTCTGAGTGGGTTCTCGTTTTCTGGATTTTTTGACCAAAACCGAGCCTTCACCGGTTTCAGGATTTCAGGGTTGTCAAGGCTCTTCAAGGTTTTTCCAAGCCCCCCAGAGTTTCCCAAGGCTTTTTGAAGCCACCAGAGCCTCTTCGAGAGCTTTTCAAGCTGCTTGGGAGCATTTTAGGTGCCCCCCAAAGGGGTCACCGCTGCGATCTTTCACGGCCTAATTTTGGTCAAGGGGGGGTCGTATTTTTCAGTATTCGGAGACCCCCCTTGCTCAAAACTCCGACCCGCCCTTGAAGGGGAAAGTTTGCCTCCAAAAACTCGCTTTCTGGATTTTTGACGAAAACCGCACCTTCACCGGTTTCAGCCAAAAGCACCCCAAATGAGGACAACCCCAGGATCGGCCCGGGTCCCAGTTAAAAATGCGATTTTTTAGTACTGAAATCGACGGTTCTGGGTGGGCTCTCGTTTTCTGGAATTTGACCAGTATTCGGAGACCCCCCTTGCTCAAATCCTCCCGGACAGTTTCTGGGCCTTTTTGGGCTCCTCTTGGACAGTTTCGTGCTTGTTTGGGTTTCCGAGCCTTTTTAAATCCTGCCAGTTTCTGAGCTTTTTGGGCCCGGACAGTTTCCGAGCCTTTTTGGGCTCCTCCCGGACGGTTTCTGACCTTTTTTGGGCTCCTCGCTTTTTTGCTCCTCCCGCACAGTTTCTAAGCCTTTTTGGGTTCCTTCCGGACAATTTCCGAGCCTTTTTGGGTTTTGGTGCCTCTAGAAGCCTTTTTAAGCCTTTAGGCTCCTCCCAGACAGTTTCTCAGCCTTTTTGGGCTCCTCCCGGACAGTTTCTGCTCCTCCCGGACAGTTTCTGGGCCTTTTTGGGCTCCTCCCGGACAGTTTCGGGATCAAGAGCGTGCATGTTGGTTTCTTGTGAGAGGAAGCGGCGGCTTTGTTTTGCTGGCGGCAGCCAGGTAGTCTCACGTAAAACCCGGACCCTGCTCCGAGGGACCCACAATCTTTTGTTTTGGCGGGGAAAACTTCCCTCCGGTTTCTCCAATTTTTGTTTCTTAAACATCTGCGCGCAAGTTAAGTTGCATCCTTCGGCTACAACTCAACTTCTGCGCGACGTGCTTGTAATTCAGAGAAGGGGGTAAGAAAAAGAAAAAAAGAAAAATTGATTACACAACGAACACCGGGAGGGTCGGGCGGGCAACAAGCAGCCGCGCGTCAGGCTTGGCACACCCTAAACCCTAAACCCTAAACCCTAAACCCTAAACCCTAAATCACGTAGGGGGGTGGGCAAAGCGGCGCCTCGTCTCGCAGGGGGGAGCTCGGACGCTTGGGCGCACTCTTCAGAGCCACGCGGAGCTCGGAGGCAAGCACCTGCTTGTGACCAAGGGCTTAGGGTTTAGGGTTTAGGGTTTAGGGTTCAGGGTTCAGGGTTTAGGGTTTAGGGTTTAGGGTTTAGGGTTTAGGCTCACACCCCGAAGTGCCACATTTGGGGCTTGTTTGGGCTTTAGGGTTTAGGATTGCTTCGGGAGGTTTAAGGCCTGAGACGCTCATGCTGGCACAAATCACCGAGGTTCCATGCTCGGATCACCCTAAACCCTAAACCCTAAACCCTAAACCCGAAGCCCTAAGCCCTAAGCCGTAAACCCTAAACCTAAACCCTAAATGCCAAGCCCTAAATCCTAAACCCCAAAGTCACCCTGAACCAGTAGCTTGTCTCTGCCGGGTTCCAAGCAATCCACAGGCCCTCCGCACCTAGCCCTAAACCCAAACCCTAAACCCTAAACCCTAAACCCTAAACCCTAAACCCTAAACCCTAAACCCCAAAACCTCTGCCCTTGAAAAACCACGGAACACCTCACAGGGAGGAGACGCGGCCCCCCATCCTGGTTTAAGGAGTGAAGTTGGGAGTTTAGGGTTTAGGGTTTGGGGTTGGGGTTTAGGGTTTAGGGTTTCGGGTTTAGGGCTTAGGGTTTAGGGAGCCACGCCTTGTGGAGCTCTGCCTCACAGTGCTCTGCGGCAAGCACTCCGCCGTGCCCGTCGTAGACCGCGAAGAAGGCCCACCTCTTCGGCACTTCGCTCTAAACCCCAAACCCTCAGCCCGAAACCCCAAACCCTAAACCCTAAACCCTAAACCCTAAACCCTGAAGGAGGAGGATCCCGGTTATGGTTTGTCGGCATCCGTTCATCGGGCAAACTCGCAGGCTGTAGACTTGTATTGGGCTTGGGGCCAGACAGTGCTTGTTGTACGTAGGTTTTAGGGCTAAACATGTACAGGATTGAGGGTTTAAGGTGATTTATGCTTCTTGTAGGTTCTAAAATCTAGGGCTAATTGAGTTTAGGATTTTGGGTTTAGGGTACCACTTTGGGGGGAGGTCGGGGGTCCCGATGGTGATCCCGGACCAACTGACATTGCTGATCTTGCAGCCGACAGCCACGTTTCATTTCCAAGCTCCCCATCCATGAAGGGGTCGATGATACAGTACTTGTCCTGATATCTGCCCCATCACGGCGTGACTTGAAGCTTCATGGGTTCAAGGTTACAATGTGCCAAGTTACCTCTTCAGGGCTTCCCCTTAGACCCCCTAAACCCTAAACCCTAAACCCTAAACCCGAAACCCGAAACCCTAAACCCTAAACCCTAAACCCAAAGGAACCTTCCAACAAGGCCGAGGGAACAACGCAAGGTGTCTAGTCTACGGTTCCTGTTGGGCACCCTTAGTCAAAAAAGGGAACCCAGCAGGGAGAGCGATTTGTAGTTGTAGGGTTGGCCGGTAAGGTTTAGGGTTTAGGGTTTAGGGTTTAGGGTTTAGGGTTTAGGGTTTAGGGTTTAGGGTTTAGGGTTTAGGGTTTAGGGTTTAGGGTTTAGGGTTTAGGGCTTAGGGTTTGGGGTTTGGGGTTTGGGGTTTGGGGTTTGGGGTTTGGGGTTTGGGGTTTGGGGTTTGGGGTTTAGGGTTTAGGGTTTAGGGTTTAGGGTTTTAGGGTTTAGGGTTTAGGGTTTAGGGTTTAGGGTTTAGGGTTTGGGGTTTAGGGTTTAGGGTTTAGGGTTTAGGGTTTAGGGTTTAGGGTTTAGGGTTTAGGGTGCCCCTTTTGTTTACGCAGAAGGACTCCCAACTCAAAGACAAGGAAAGAAGGGTGCTACTGGGGGCATCCAGGTTTTAGAACTCCCCCCAAACCCTAAACCCTAAACCCTACACCCTACACCCGAAACCCTAAACCCTAAACCCAATCCCTAAACCCTAAAACCTAAACCCTGAACCATAAACCCTACACCCTACACCCTAAACCCTAAACCCTAAACCCTAAACCTAAACCCAAAACCCAAGCCCTAAACCCTAAACCGTAAACCTCAACCCCGCACCTGAAAGCTAAGCAGAGTCTCCTCCATGTAAGCGCGGTACTGGGAGTTGGGCTCAGCCGCTTTGCTGACATACGCCACCGCCGTCCCGTCCCTGGCAGGCAATCCCCGTTGGCCCCTCAACCCGACAACCCGAAAGCCCAAAGTCTAAAACCTAGGCAGGGTTCAGGGTTTAGGTTTTGGGGTTGGGGGCTTAGGGTTTAGGGTTTTAGGGTTTAGGGTTTAGGGTTTAGGACCAAACCCGCCAAAACCGACCGCGCTCCGCGTCCCGGGCCTTGCTTTCGGCATCGGAATCGCATGCCTGGGCGCAAAAGGAGAAAAACAACCTCAAACTAGCCCGGGATTCCTGGGTTTAGGGTTTAGGGTTTGGGGTTTAGGGCTCAGGGCGAATATATTTGGTTTAAGGTTTAGGGTTTATATAGGGTAGTTTAGGGTTTGGGATTCTGGTCTGCAATCAGTAGCCACCACGCTCCTGTAAAGCCCTCTTCCAAGCCATGCGCCAGACCGAAACCCCCCTAAACCCCAACACCATGAAAAATAGCACTGGACGAGAGGTCTCACAGAGTCGTGAGGATACACAGAAGGGCCAAGCTGCTGGTGTGCGTGGTGCTGCGCGTGGCGGTGGTCCTCGACTGACACGGAAGCACTCCGGATTTTGGGCTCAGGGTGTGGGATTTGGGGTTGACAGAGGGGCCTTCAGTTCACCGTAAACGCTGAACCTGAAACTAAACTTTTAGGGGGGCCATGGGTTTTGGAGAATGACTGTAGAGATCCTCAACCCTAGATTTTTAGATGTTTAAAGGCCAGGCGTCCTGCGGCGGCGCACCAAAAAGCGTGGTGTCACCTTGCATGGGAGGAGGGGGAGGGGTGACCTAAACCCCTTAAACCCTAAACCCTAAACCCTAAACCCCCGTTAACCCTAGATCCTGAAGCGGCGAAACCGTAAGCGCTAAACCCTTTCTGCATCCTTGCTGGCTGAGGCCGGGGCCATTCTTCGGCCGAAGATCCTCCTCCGAAGCACACGAGCCATGGGCTGAGGGTTTAGGGTTTAGGGTTTAGGGTTTAGGGTTTAGGGTTTAGGGTTTAGGGTTTAGGGTTTAGGGTTTAGGGTTTAGGGTTTAGGGTTTAGGGTTTAGGCCTTGGGGTTTAGGGCTTCTAGACTAGAATGGCCACTAAGACCGTTTGAAAAATAATCCTAGATATGGTCCTCTCATACCCAGTAAGAGAAAATACACAATGTCCAAAGGGACTGCCGAGTAGAGAGTCTTTGTTGGGGTTTAGGGGTCAATTGGTTTCTATACTCCCCTTAGAACCGCAATAGAAATCTCTGTTTAAAATCCTCTCGGGCTTTTATAAACAAAAATAAAATGGTAATTAATTCTCAAGGGGGATATAGGTTTTGGGGTGTAGGGATTTAAGTGGGGGCTCAGAGTCCCTATAAGCGCTATGTGCATCCCCAACCTTCCAGCCCTGAAGCCCTGAAGCCCTACACTCCTAAACCCTAAGCCCTAAGCCCTAAACCCTAAACCCTAAACCCTAAACCCTAAACCCTACTTACTTCAGCTGGAGTAGGCTCCGGACTTTCGCCTCCAGCCTTCCACTGACGGCTTCGTGTTGTGTGCCCCAAACCCGGGTTTAGGTCAGTACAGGGTTTAGGGTTTAGGGTTTAGGGTTTAGGGTTTAGGGTTTAGGGTTTAGGGTTTAGGGTTTAGGGTTTAGGGTTTAGGGGTTTAGGGGTTTAGGGGTTTAGGGGTTTAGGGGTTTAGGGTTTAGGACGTACGGGTTCCGGGTGTAGGGTCTAAACCCTGAAGCCCAAGCTCACCCGACTTGGGGTTGGAATTGTTAGGGTTGGGCGAGAACCCTCAGACCCTAAGACCCTAAACCCTAAACCCTAAACCCTAAACCCTAAACCCTAAACCCGAGAAGCGCCTCCGGTAAGCTCTGGTGGCGTTTCCGGTGCGCTTCACCCTCGCGCTTCCGCGGGAAGGGCATGGTGAAGGTGTCCTGCACGCGAGGGGCGTAGGGTTTAGGGTTTAGGGTTTAGGGTTTAGGGTTTAGGGTTTAGGGTTTAGGGTTTAGGGTTTCGGGTCTAGGGCTTAGGGTCTAAGGTTTAGGGTTTGGGGTTAAGGGTTCAGGGTTTAAGGTTGGGATGTTCCCCCTTATACTAACATTCCTTCAAGGGGATTCTGTTACCCCTTCCTATAATCCCTATTTAGGACTGTCGGTATAAGGGGGACATCCCAGGGTTTAGGGTTTCATTCGGGCTTTGTGGGAGTGCAGGATGTGAGCACTGCTGGAGGTCTAAAGCTTGCCGGTGAGCTGGGCGCCTTTGTTGGGTGGTTGGGTTTAGGGTTTAGGGTTTAGGGCTTAGGGCTTAGGGTTTAGGGTTTAGGGCTTAGGGTTTGGGGTTTAGGGTTTAGGGTTTAGAGTTTAGGGTTTAGGGCTCAGGGTTCAGGGTCAGGAACCCTGCACTACAAGCCCACCGTGCGCCACTGCCGATTTAGATGAACGTGACGGGAATGCCATTCTGCCGTCTGCTGTGCCTCTCTTGCGTCTTGGCCATGTAGGTCTGCAGCAACTCCGAAACTAGAGCTTCAAAAAAAAGGCCACATTGCGGCTCCACATTGCGGCTCCAGCCGGAACCCTAAAACTCCTATGCCCTACTGACCGGTCCTCAACCCTCTGGGGATTTTGTCGGGTTTTATAGGGGCTTCTAAAGGCTTCAAAGGGTTTACAAAGTCTTTGCTTGTTTTCTGTGTTTTTTTGGGGGAGGGAGGGCGGTTATAGGGTTTATGGGTCTTGGTGTTTCGACCCGAAGCCCCTTAAACCCTAAACCCTAAACCCCAAACCCTCAACCCTAAATCTCAAACCCTAAACCCTAAACCCTAAACCCCAAACCCTAAACCCTAAACCCCTAACCCGACTCTGACGCCCGACAGCCCGCCTGCGCCCACGGAGGTACCACAGCCACATCCGCACCTTGGTGGGGGCTCAGGGCTTTAGGGCTTCAGGGTTTTAGGGTTTAGGGTTTAGGGTCTTACAAGGTCTTTGATCTAGCAAAAGGAATCAAGTTTCAGGGTTTTAGGTTTCAGGGTTTTAGGGTTTTAGGGTTTTAGGGTTTTAAGGGTTTTAGGGTTTTAAGGGTTTTAGGGTTTTAGGGTTTAGGGCTGTAGGCTGTATGTAGGCTGTAGGGTTGCAGGGTTTAGGGTTTTAGGTTTTTTTTGGGCTTCAGGGCTTCAGGGTCTCAGGGCTTTCGGGCTTTAGGGCTAGTAGGAGATCTGAGCCGAGTGGCTGACTACATTACAAAAAGCGTAGGGACACAGGTCGCAGTCCGGGATCGTACTGGAGCGCTGCGGGGTGTCTAGGGGTGTATAAGGCTCAAAGGGTCCATATTAAACTGTTCTTGTTGATGTGTTTTTTGCCCTGAACCCTGAACCCTAACCCTAAACCCTAAACCCTAAACCCTAAACCCTAGACCCTAAACCCTGAACCCTGAACCCTAAACCCTAAACCCTAACATCCACGTCATATCCGGTCGCAGGGCGAGCACCCTTCCGGTTCGGCTGCTGCACCCACGGAGGCTCCTGGGAACCAGACAAGAGGTGAGGCTTCCTTCGGGGTCTAGGGTTTAGGGGTTGGGGTTTAGGGTTTAGGATTTTTGGGGTTTAGGGTTTAGGGTTTCGGGTTTCGGGTTTAGGGTTTAGGGGTTAGGGGTTGGGGTGTAGGGTTTGGAGTTTGGGGTTTGGGGTTTGGGGTTTAGGGGTAAACCCTTTCCTGTCTTTGCCAAGCTTCCCACCACCCAGGGCTTCCATGAGGCCCGGATGTCGGGTTTGGGGTTCAGGATGTCATACAGGATTTAGGGTTTAGGGTTTAGGGTCTAGGGTTTAGGGTTTAAGGTTTAGGGTTTAGGGTTACTTCCCAAAATGCCCACGGCGTAAAAAAGTTCAAACTTTCAGAATAAGACGACCTTTTTAGAGGGCAAAAATTGAGTAGTTTGGTTTTGAACCACTAAGGTTTAGGGTTCAGGGCTGTAGGTGGAGGACGGTTTAGGGCTTCGGCCTTAATGTTTAGGGTTTAGGGCTTCTAGGGCTTAAGGCTTAGGGCTCAGTGCCAAGGGCCTAGGGCCTAGGGCTTAGGACTCAATTAGGGCTTAAAATTCAGGATCTAGGGTTTAAGGTCCAGGGACCACTGGAATTGCGCACCAATTTGGCGCCCTCCCATTTGAGCGGGCACCCGTATACACTACTTCGCACTACCGCCTACCCGAAACGCTAAACCCCAGGCACTGACCTCCCAAAACAAGAGCAACGGTTTAGGGCTTAGGGTTTTTTCTAATTAGGGTTTAGGGTTTAGGGTTTAGGGTTTAGGGTTTAGGGTTTAGGGTTTAGGGTTTAAGGTTTAGGGTTTAGGGTTTAGGGTTTAGGGTTTAGGGAGTCTAGGGTTTAGGGTTTAGGGCCAAACCCTAAATTCTAAATCCCCAATTCTGCAAGCCCGGCGTCGTGGGAAGCTCCACGGTGCGCCCTCGATAACTCGCCGCGCTGCTTGTGACCTGCACGAACACGCTTCCCTAAACCCTAAACCCTAAACCCTAAACCCTAAACCCTAAACCCTAAACCCTAAACCCTAAACCCTAAACCCTAAACCCTAAACCCTAAACCCTAAACCCTAAACCCTAAACCCTAAACCCTAAACCCTAACCCTAAACCTTAAACCCTAAAGCTTGAAACCAGCCTTGGTATTCAGCGTGAAGCTCGGGTGAAGGGCCTATAGGCCTTATAACCCTAAACACAATCAGAATCCCATATACTACATATGTATGTGTATATATATACTACAGATATATATGTATATACAGACATTATATATATATACTACATATATATATATACAGACATTATATATATATATATATACTACATATATATATAGACATTCTATATACATATCACAATAAGAGTTCTAACGATTCTATGAGCCTTCCATCCACCCCGCACTTTGCCGAGGCTTCGGGAGGGGTCCCAGGCTGGGTCTGGGCACATGAACCAAGTTTAGGGTTTAGGGTTTAGGGTTTAGGGTTTAAGGTTTAGGGTTTAGGGTTTAGGGTTTCGGGTTTCGGGTTTCGGGTTTAGGGTTTAGGGTTTAGGGTTTCGGGCCTAGGGCAATGAACCATATCCCGCCCTGAACCGCTGACTACGTGGGTATCTCCGAGAACGAGGCCTCGCCCAAATCCCCAGACTACCATACATCCGCCTCTTCCCTATATAGTATTGTTTGGAAACAACCCGGCTTAGGGTTTTGACCCTAAACCCTCAACCCCTAAACCCCTAAACCCCTAAACCCCGAAACCCCTAAACCCAAAAAAACCCTGAACCCCTCAACCCCAAACCCTAAACCCTAAGCCCCCAAACCCCTCAACCCCGAAGCCCCTGAAGCCCCAAACCCTAAACCCTAAGCCCCTAAACCCTAAACCCGTAAACCCCTAAACCCCTAAACCCCTAAACCCCTAAACCCCTAAACCCCTAAACCCCTAAACCCCTAAACCCCTAAACCCCTAAACCCCTAAACCCCTAAACCCTTAGCGCCTTCTCGCGGTTCGACTCGGCCGGGGGCCGTGTCGTTGTGCCCCGGTCGGTACCCGCCCAGCGCCACAGGCAGCTGCTGGAGCAATTCTTTTGCGCTCTCCTGGCCTCGCGACAGGGTTTAGGGTTTAGGGTTTAGGGTTTGGGGTTTAGGGTTTAGGGTTTAGGGTTTAGGGTTTAGGGTTTAGGGTTTAGGGTTTAGGGTTTAGGGTTTAGGGTTTAGGGTTTAGGGTTTAGGGCCTGGGGCCTCCGGGACCAACGCGCAGGGTTTTAAAGAGCCATCGACAGACGGCTGCCTTCAAATCTCCTTACTCCAGGTTTTGGCTCAGGAAGGCTTAAGCTACCGCAATAAGGGATTTAACTTGTACACCGCAGAAAAAACGAAAAAACTGACCCTAGCAATGTTAGCTGAACCGAGGATCCGGGACCCGTCAGAGCGCGGCTGCTCAGTAACCATATTATAGTACGAATAATCTTTGCGGTGTTGGTTACTTTATACGGGAATCTTGAACCCAAAAAAGGGCAAAAGGGCACTGGGCTACCAAGGAAGAACCCGCAAAGACATCTACATTCCGTCGCCCTTATTCCCACGTCCCCTGGCGCCTCGTCCTTTGGCGGCTGCGGGGCCCGTGGCCGCCTTCATGAAGCGGCCCTCGATGCATTCCCTGCACAGCATGCCCTAAACCCCAAACCCTAAACCCTGGGTAAGGTTTTTTTGGGCTTGGTTTGGGTCCTACCCCCAACCGCCGAAACTCTACCTTCAAAGGCGCGGTGACATTGCCTGGCTTGCAACCTGTCTCACAGAGACCCCGGCAAACCCTAAACCCCAAACCCAAAACCCTAAACCCTAAATCCTAAACCCTAAAATCTAAACCCTAAACCCTAAACCCTAAACCCTAAACCCTAAACCCTAAACCCTAAACCCTAAACCCTAAACCCTAAACCCTAAACCCTAAACCCTAAACCCTACCCGGCCTGACGCCCCCGGCATCCCTCGGACCGGGTCGGCGTCCGTGGGTATTGTAGGCCACGGATCCATTCATAAAAGGATGATGCCAAGGGGCGGCTTGTGCCGCTTGCTCTAAACCCTTAACCCTAAACCCTAAACCCTAAACCCTAAACCCTAAACCCTAAACCCTAGTACAGGAGGGGGCATGGGAGTGATTTGGGGGGAAGCCCTGGTGTTGTGGAGAGGCTTTGGTGACATGCAAGTAAGTGGCTGTCTCATCCCTGCAGCCTAGGCAGCATCTCACGGATTCGGTCTCCGGCTTCTGCGCTCATACCGGATCATGTGCATGAGCCGTCTCAACATTCTTGCTTGCTTGCTTGCGGCAGCTTTTGTGGGCCAGGTGCTACTTGGGGCTGCGAAGGCCGGAGTTACGAGTGCCGGAGTGAGGCGCTGCTGGTGTGTCTAACTACGGTGGAATGTGCGACGAAAGGCAGGGGCCTTGATCCGTGCGCCTGCAGATGCTCGTATCGATGCGAGGGCTACGGCCCAACCCTCAACCCTCAACCCCCGGGTTTGGGGTTGAGGGGCTTAGGTTTAGGGTTAAGGGTTTAAGGTTTGGGGTTTAGGGCTTGTTACGGCTTGTTGAAGGGTTTAGGGGGGGTTTGGGGTTTTAGGGTTCTGAATTCCCAAGCAACCAATAGATGAATTGCAGACCCAACTCCGGGGAAGGAGCAGGTAAGAGCAGCTCGGGTGGTGGGTTCGGCTGCAGGCTGAGCCCTACGACCCTGTGCCCCAAAGCCCGGCCTCCACTAAAACCCTACACGGGTGCATTTTGGGATGTTCCCCCTTAGACTAACAGTCCTTAATTGGGATTCTAGTACCCCGGATTGTAATCCCTATTGAGGACAACACGCATAAACCCCATAAACCCCAAAGCCCTAACTGGGGTTTAGCGTTTATACGGCTTACGGCTCAGGGTTTAGGTTCGTTGCGAGCCCGTAGCGCCCTGTAGCGCCTATAGGCCCACAGCCCAAGAAGCCGCAGCATCACCGGGCACGGCACATGGTCAAGAGAGGTGCCACCAGCTCGAGCTGTCCGATCAGGACCAGAAGCGCCTTGGCACTGAGCAGTTTAGGGCTTAGGGTTTAGGGCTTAGGGTTTAGGGTTTAGGGGTTAAGAGGCCCCAGGGCGTTTGCACGGGTTTTTTTGGGTTTGGGGGGCTTCAAGGGGGCATCAAGAGGGTTTAAAAGCTTCCAAGGCCGTTAAGGGCTTCAAGAAGGGCCCTAAACCCTAGACCCTAAACCCAAACCCTAAACCCTAAACCCAAACCCTAAACCCTAAACCCTAAACCCTAAACCCTAAACCCAAGGAGGCTAAGGTTTACGGCTTGGGGTTTAGAGACTCGAGACTTCATTTCGGGACACCAGGTGCCAGGTCCACCCAAACACCCCAAACCCTAAACCCTAAACCCTAAACCCTAAACCCTAAACCCTAAACCCAAAACCGAAGTGCGCCTTGTTGGGGGGGGTTATTTAGGGCATCTTCAAGGGCACCTCGGGGCGTCTGGGCGCACCCTAAACCCTAAACCCTAAACCCTGAGCCCTGAACCCTAAACCCCAGAACCCTTGAACCCTAAACCCTAAACCCCAACCCCTAACCCTAAACCCCAAACCCCAAACCCCAAACCCCAGAACCCCTAGACAGCGGAAACCGCCGCCGCGCGGCGGCCGCCAGGTACGTGAACAGCAGCGCCCGGGTGGGCTCCCCGCTCGGGCTCAGCGGCTCCAGCACGCGGAGGGCTGGCATGAGGCGATCCTACAAGTTTAGGGTTTAGGGTTTAGGGTTTAGGGTTGAGGGTTGAGGGTTGAGGGTTTAGGGTTTCGGGTTTAGGGTTTAGGGTTGAGGGTTTAGGGTTTAGGGTTTAGGGTTGAGGGTTTAGGGCTGAGGGTTGAGGCTTTCAGTTTGGGTTTGGGGTTTAGGGCTTAGGGATGGTAAGGGTTCAGGGTTTGGAGTTTGTCTCTTGGATTGATAGGGTTAAGAGGGCAATCGCAGCCAGGTTGTTTTGGGGTGTTCTGAGAAGGGTCGGGCTGGTTACGCGGCTTAGTCTCTTGTACTAGTCGGGAAGACAGGATTTCATTATCCCTGAACCCTACACCCTAAACCCTGAACCCTAAACCCGAAACCCTAAACCCTAAACCCTAAACCCTAAACCCTAAACCCGAAACCCTAAACCCTAAACCCGAAACCCTAAACCCTGACATGAGGCTTTTTCTAGGTTTGTAGGGCTCGAGAGAGCTTGGTGGTGTGGGCGAGGGCTTTCCGCTGCTTGGCGCACCCTGCACCCTAAAGCCCGTAAACCACAACCCCCCCCCCCCAAACCGTCTACACCCCAAATTAAACCTTTAGGGTTTAGAGTTTAGGGTTTAGAGTTTAGGGTTTAGAGTTTAGGGTTTAGGTTTACACCAATCGGGGTTTTGTCTGCTGGCTTCGGGCTACAAAGATAGTCCTTTGCCATGTTCTGCAGGAGGCGTGGGGCCACAATCAGGCACTGCAGTGACTGGCTCCTTGGCCGCTGATGCGCCATTGGACAAATATCTCCTAAACCCTAAACCCTAAACCCCAAAACCCAAGACAGGAAAATGTACAACATGGGGTTTTCGATCTTAGGGGCACCTTATTAGGGTCCTTGGTATAAGGAAATCTTACTGGTACTATTTGAAACCCTAAACCCTCAACCCTACCCTAACCCTAAGCCCTAAGCCCTAAACCCTAAACCCCAAACCCTAAACCCTAAACCCTGCCAAGGCTCAAGGAGCAGAGGATGATACCTCAGAGCTTCGGGCACACGAGCCCCGAGCTGGCTTTCGAGCACAGGGTTCAGGGCTCAGGGCTCAGGGCCTAGGGTTTAGGGTTTAGGGTTTAGGGTTTAGGGTTTAGGGTTTAGGGTTTAGGGTTTAGGGTTTAGGGTTTAGGGTTTAGGGTTTAGGGTGTAGGGTTTCAGGGTTCGGGGTTAGGGTCAAAGTTTAGGGTTCAAGGCTTAGGGCTTAGGGTTTAAGGCTTCGGGGTTAGGGTTAGTTTAGGGTTCAGGGCTTAGGGCTTAGGGTAGGGTGCTAACCAAGCTGCCGATGAAAGCCGAGTTGGGAAAAGGATTCCAAACAACCTCGGCGGACCGGAGCAAGTTGAAGGTTTAGCGTCTTAATTAGGGTTTACCCTAAACCCAAAACCCTAAACCCCTAAACCCTAAACCCTAAACCCTAAACCCTAAACCCTAAACCCTAAATCCTAAACCCTAAACCCTAAACCCTAAACCCTACATATCGGGATTTGGGCTGGGGGTTTGAGGGCTTCAGGCCGCATCTCCTGTGAACGCACCAGAGGACTACTCCCCAAAGCCAGGGGCAGAGCCCAATGAACTAAACCCTCAACCCCAAACCCTAAGCCCTGAACCCTCTAGATCCTAAACCCTAAACCCTCAACCCTAAACCCTAAACCCTAAACCCTAAACCCTCAACCCTAAACCCTATAAAACCCCAATACTTTGAAGGTCACCCCGGAAGATTCCCAAAGCTTCCTAAGGGTTTACAGTTTCTAGGGTGTCGTGTCTGTGTGCTTAGATGTTATAGGGTTTAGGGGTTAGGCCTAAACCCTAACCTCCAAACCCTAAACCCTAAACTCTAAACCCTAAACCCTACACCCTAAACCCTAAACCCTACAGCCAAGCTGCTGTCTGCACGATGTGGCGGCTCGCCTCCGGAGAAATCCCGGCGCTCATGAGCCTCTGCGGATTAGAAGGGCTTCGGGGTTTAGGGTTTAGGGTTTAGGGATTAGGGATTAGGGATTAGGGATTAGGGACTCGGGATTAGGGCTTGGCAAAGCCTAAACCACACACCACCCCAAGAACTCGCGACCACCTAAACACGCGAGGGAGTCCCCTCGGAGCGGATCCGAGATCGAGGAGACGCACTGACGAGGGTTCAGGGTTTTCAGGGTTTCGGGAAACCCTGAACCCTAAACCCTAAACCCTAAACCCTAAACCCTAAACCCTAAACCCTAAACCCCAAAGAGTTTGAACCTGGGTTCTGTTGAGGTGCAGAGCTCAGACGCCTAGCCTCGAAAGACCGGAAGTTCCTGAAGGAGAGCCCTGGCAAAACCCCGAAAAGGGGCTTGGTAGGGTTAAGGCCTTGCGGTTTGGGATTTAGGGTTAGGGTTTAGGGTTGGGTAATTACATGGTAATCTGGTCCCTGACCCTCTCTAAAGGGCTCTGAAGTATGGGTATAAGGGGTTTCTAAGAAGTCCCTTTTTATAAGGGCCCACATGGCCCGTATGAAGGGACCGTGTAACTACCCTTAGATAATAAACCCTAAGCCCTAAACTCTACTAAGCTTGACGGAGCCCTGGCATTTCTGCCTCCGCCCGTGGTGGTCATCGGTGTGGTGCAGAAAGTCGCCTTTCAGGTACCTGTCCTTGGACTGAGGTGTTTGGGGTTTTGGGGTTTAGGGGTTTAGGGGCTTAGGGGCTTAGGGGCTTAGGGGTTTAGGGGTTTAGGGGTTTAGGGGTTGAGGGGTTGAGGAGTTTAGGGGTTTAGGGGTTCAAGGGGTTTTGCGGTTTCGGGTTCGGGGTTTAGGGTCTTTTACGGTGACTTCTGGGGTGCAAGGGGTGAGCTTTCAGGGTCGTGTCAGGAAATTTTCTTCTAAGTAAACCCACAGCCTCAGAATCTAAACCCTGGCACCTTTTCACCCGCCGGGGTGCCCGTATCGCACACAAGGCCACAAGGCACCCCACAATGGCGCAACAGATACTCGTCCAGGGTTCGGGGTTTACACAAGCCCTAAAAATGCCTGAGCCCCTGAGAAATTCCGAAGCCCTTGAAACCCCAAAGCCCAGAAGCCCAAAAACCCTGCACCTGAGCCCCCTGCCCCAAATGTAATGGCCCAAAGTCCCCACACCTTGAACCCCTAAAACCCCAAATTCCTACATTATTCGAAGCCCCAGACCCCTGGGAGGATCCAAAAAGTAGATCCCCTGCAGCGTTCCTAAGAATGACCCAATGCAGTCCAGGCTACTCTTTGGGGGTTTCTACTTTTTGGATCCTCCCAGGGGTCTGGAAACCCTAAACCCTAACACCTAAACCCTAAACCCTAAACCCTAGACCCTAACCCTAAACCCTAAACCCTGAACCCTAAACTAGCCCACTGCAGCGAGGCGACCGACGCCACCGATCCCCAAAGGAGGAAGAAAGAGGAGTACAGCACCAGGCTAAACCTCTTGGCTGAATTTTGTCCTAAACCCTAAACCCAAATGTTCAGGGTTTTGGATCTTAGGGGCTAGCGGTGTGGGAGTTTTAAGAGGATTATAATTAGGGGATCAGGTTCCAAGGCGGCTGTGGGTGCCGTACAGGGTTTAGAGTTTAGGGTTTAGGGCTAAAGCTTGGGTCGGCCCAGCTGTACGGAGGCTGTTGGCTTTGGGATGTTGATGATGTGGATGTCGATGATATGTATTCAAACAGTAGTAATGGCTATAATACTTTTGATAATGGTCACAATTATGACCAATCATGGAATGTCCAACAACAGCAGCAACAACAGCAAACACAGTTGATAAATGACTTACAAAATACAACAGTATGACTTTGTGTATATGCTTTGTTTTTGCTTTATTTTGTCTTGTTCAATTCGTGTGTCGTTGTTTTCCATGTTTTGTTTGGATGTGTTTTGGGCTACGTCTGAGATGCTAGATGTCTACATCTCCCCCAATCTCTAAACCCCAAGACCCGCTCAGAACCCACCATGAAACCCTGACACACTGAAACCCTCAGACCCCAACCCCTGAACTCCCCCGCTAAGCACCCTGGAGACCCTAAGACCTGAAAACCCCATGAGAAAACCCTAAGCACCCCCAACCCTAACCCCCCCAGACCGTACACACCCTACAGGGGCCCCCTCCGGGGGTCAACCGAAGTCATGACAAAAGTGGGTGGGTCCACGCTTCCCCACCCTAAACCCTAAACCCAAAACCCTAAACTCTAAACCCTAAACCCTAAACTCATAATATTTTGTTTTGCCCCAATGAAATGCTGGGACCAGAGGCCATGATCCAGACATGCTTAGGGTTTAGGGTTTAGGGTTTAGGGTTGGCTTCGAAGCCATTTCTCAGCAAGTGAAGTCGCAACAACAAGGTGATCGCCCAGCAACACCAAGTGCCCGAAGCAGACTCAACCCTAAACTCGAAGTACCCAAAGCACCCTCAACCCCAAACCCTACGCCCTAAACCCTAAACCCTAAACCCTAAACCCTAAACCACCCTAGATGCCATAAACTCAAGACTCAAACGCCAAGCCGAAGCGCAGGATCGCGGCGAAGGTGCCCAGCCGGATGTTGCGCGGCGGGTCCTCGTCAGTCTTTAGAATTTAGGGTTTAGGGTTTAGGGTTTGGGGTTTAGGGTTTAGGGCTTAACTCTCGGGTTTTTGGCGGTTTAGGAGCCTTAGGATTTTCGGGATGTTCAGGTCTTGGGGTTTAGGGTTTAGGGTTTAGGGCTTAGGGCCTGGGGATTTCGGGATTGTTTAAGGCCTAGGGTTTAGGAGCTTTAGGGTGCCTTAATGATACTTAGGCTTCTTCTGGTTTTTAGGGGTTTAGGGCATCGGAGCTTTAGGATTTCGAGGTGCGCTGTAGGGTTTTTGGGGTTCAGGGGGCTCTCAGCTTTGGGTCGTTTAGGGTTTTAGGGTTTAGGCTTTCAGCTAGACCCAAGAGTAACCGAAAATACGGTCTTTTCAGGGAGCCTGAACCCCAAAACAAACGGGAATAAGGGCCTACTCTTTCCTAAACCCGAAACCAGCGTGTAGGGCTTCGGGCTTGGGGCGTTCAGCCCAAAGCCTTAAAACCCTAAAACCATATTGAGTGGCTTTCAAAATTATGATCCCTTTTGGGGTACCCTAAATATTTGGTGCCGTATTGTAACAGGGACCCCAAAAGGGAACACAATTTTGACAGCCAACCATATCTCTTTCGCAGCGCCTTCAGCACGTCGGCTCTGTTTGCTCCGCTGAGGATGCCTGGCGGAAGAGCCGAAACAACAAAGTCTAAACACCCCGAGGCTAAACCCCTAAACACCCTAAACCCACCCTAAACCTGTTTAGGGTGTCCAGGCGGGGGGGGGGGGGGGGTTCAGGTTTAGGGGGTTAGGGTGGTTGTGGAACACCCCAAAAACCCCCCTTACATGCTAGCCCTAAACCCTAAACCCAAGCCCTCCCATCCTTAAACCCTTATATACTTGAAGGTTCATGGGCAGTTCCACAGGCAATTGAGAAAAAGTGTCACCAGAAGGTCGTAACCACTTAGAACTACAGCCCGCCTACGTGTACCCCGTGAACCTGAAGTAAGGCCCGTGGGTAGAGGAGACCCTGAACCCAACAAAAGCAAAGATCCTGAGACAAAAAAGATCAAACAAAAAAAAACCTTGAAAGCCCTGAACTGATAGCCCTGATAACCCTCAAGCCCTGACACCGCCCTAAACCCTAAACCCTTCCCCTAAACCCGAAACCCGAAACCCAAAACACTAAACCCTAAACCCCTGAACTCTAAACCCTAAACCCTAAACCCCGAAACTCTAAACCCTAAACCCCCTTAGGCCTGTGAAGCAAGGGCAGAAACCCCTAAACTCTAAAACCCTCAACCCGAAACCCTAAACCCTAAACCCTAAGCCCTGAAGCCCCATAGGCCTGTGAAGCAAGGGCAGAAAAGGAACTCCAAAACCCGAAACCCGAAACCCGAAACCCGAAA